TCCTTTGTTAAATCCGGAAAACTCAGTTGTCAAAGGCAGAACAAATTCACAAATAGTCGGTGGGCGAATGGCAGCTCAATGTACTCGTGTTGCCAACATAAGACCTCAAGATTTCCACTTATAGGTGGAGGCAAGTGCTGCAGAGTGCTCTTAGTATTTGTTGTGCACACAACACAATTCAAGCAAAAAATTTCACTCGGAAGCCAAGGCACAGAGGGATATGGATATGGCCATACCCAGAGCCATTTCGAATGCACGTAGCTGCTTCAATGGAAGTCCAGGAGCAGCAGATGGGACAGTGTCACAAGGCGGAAGTAGCTGCCTCTCTATCTGTCTTTCTTTCACTTGACTGACTCTGACTGTCACTCAGGGCTGACTGCCGGACTGGCAGACTGATGCAAGCGGCTTGGTCGAGTGGGACAGTCGTCGAATGTCAAACACTTTGTCAAAAAGTGCAGGGCGCATAAATCAAACTGCAGCTCACTCCAGTCATTGTTGCCCTCTAGCCTCTTCTGGCAGTTGATTTGAATTGCTGAACAGTCGAGGAACTCTTTTAAATAGAATTCCAGTGGCGAAGCCATTAAGATGCATGAGTCGAAGGAATCCATTGAGAAATTTCGTATTGTTATAGTGCTGTGGCAGGCAGGAACAACCGCATTTCAAAATGACAGTAGAAATGGAGTATGGATTTTCTCCGCCTGCTACTACCTGCTAAGGTCCCCAAATGTTGCAAAATTACACGTTTACCTTGGTTCGACTGTCGTAACTTTTTCGATTTCATAAATCTCTGCGGGCTTCGGGTCCAGACCAGAGGGAATGCGAATGGGAGTGGAAGTTGCCTAACTGGCAATGACTTTGTTCTTTTTTGTGCAACGAGGCGCCGCAGAACTTTTTTGGGGAACATAAGCTGCACAAACAAACAAACGGACAGATATACCATGCAACGATGACTGGCTTTCTGGCACTATACAAGCGGGCGCTGCACATATGCCCATGCCAGAGTGGAGTGAATGCCACTGCCGGATTTGCTGCAGTGTCGGGTGGAGTGCTAAAAACTGTAAGCTCAGCTTACTAAGCTGATTTCCATCGGTTAAGTACTTTATGTTCAGTTGTCAGCTCGAAATGCGACGCATTCGCAGGACTCCCACTCAAATTCAAATTTCGCCCTGTTACCTGGGCTCAGGGACTCAATGCGACTACTCGACTTGACGGCTGATTAGCTTTATTATGCAGCATTTTCCGGGAAATCCATTTTAAGCTCTCCGTTGCCTCTCGGATTCCGCTGTAAACGGACTCCCTCCTTAATTAGTATTCATGGCAGAGCCCCGTGGAGATTCGACAGATGGGACAGGATATTCAATATTTGTACACGGCTACGAGGAAATTCAAAAGGGTGTACAGAATACGAGCTCCTGGGGCAGTGGAAATCCCACATGAAGTCACTATAAAATTCTATATTATTCTCTGGAAACAAGTGCAGGTCGTAATTAGCCTATTGTGTGCGGTGCCTTTGTTTCCCCATCAGTCTTCGGGCATTGCTAAATATCGGCCACATGATATCTTAAAATTCAAGTAATTTAGCGTTAAGATTGTCACGTTTGTTCAAGCAAATCGAACGCTTAAGACAAACGACAGAAGGCACAACAACAACACGGCGCACACGGCGTATGTGTAATGTGTGAAAAATGAGAGCAGTCTGCCGCCAAGCTTTAGTGGGAAGTGACTAGAAGGCTGTGAGGGCGCGTCCTTGAAACTAAGGACCAAACCCCGAAATAGAAACATTTTTGGGGCATTCAAGAGCATAGGATGAGTCAGAGGAGCAGCAGCAAGAGCAGGAGCATCAGCAGGAGCAGGAGCAATCTTACTTAACAGAAAATATATTGTGACAGAGCCATTTTCAATGGCTTCGAGGGATGTTCTTGTAGTTCCACCCTACTCAAGGACACAGAAGTGCACGAACTGATGTCTGAACCCACTCGGGAGGCTACTTACATGCCGCTTAGATTAATGTTTGCCCTGGCAGACACAAAGGATATTTGATAAATGATCCCTGACATTATGTGCCACTGCCACCCCATCCGATGCTCAATATGTGTAAGTACATTTCTAAGAGTACACCGTCTCCCTCTTCTGGGATAGACAGACCTGTTTAGAGGACAAAGACGTAAAGAGTCGGTGGCAACATGTGTGTTTTCGTTTCCCATCATAGGTACACTCAAAATTAATTGGCAAACTAATTGACATTTGAAATGCATTCAGATGTGCCCATGCACCTGTCCTGGTCATGGCCACTGTCAAAAAGCCTTCCCAAGCAAGCGACAGGCCGAATACAGGCTCGTGTGTAAACGACCAGTGGCACAGTGGCACAGTGGCCCAGTCCCCGTTGCATGCCTCAACACACCCCAACGTTTGTATCCTGACATAACAAACCACACACAAAATGTCATATTAAAGTAATTAAGTGCCATAACAACTTTGAGGCAGAAGCAGAGTCCCAGCCCGTAGACCGTATCTCATGGCTTGTAGGATAAATTGGCTTATTGACTCATTAGCCCAGTTTTGAGGGTCATTAGGCAAGGCATTGCAGGGACCCGACCATGAGGAATTTAATAAAAACAGCCCCGACAAAGTACATATATAAATTTGCATAGAAATGTCTGGGGACATGGACAGGACACTGCTGTTGGCACGAGATTGTGTGCATAATCTTATCGAATGATTTAGTTCTGCTGGTCCTGCTGCTGGCGGCTCCTTTGTGATGATGCCTATCCCCCGGTTATCTGCCTGGACACGGACAAATGAGCAGCCTGAACAGTAAACTACCCCCGAGCAACAGCCGCTTCCAGTTACCGGATGAGATGGGGGATGGAGCCAATTACCTCACTTTTTTGTCATGGAAATATATTTAAAATCCTGGCAACTACCGGGAGGATATGCCTTGTAATCCTGTTCCAATCGCTTCGATTTTACATTCACCTCTCGAAATGCATGACCGACGTCAGTCTCTCTTTACAAAGTATTTTGTTTCGTTTTTTTTTATTTACAATTATTGACATATCTGAGCGTGTCCGCTTTCCGTGGAAAAGATACATACATTTTATTGCTTCCTTTGACGGACATAAGAATTTCACGTTAAATTCAATCAACATGCACCTTCGCACATCGAATGCAAAAAGCCCTGAACACTCTCAAAAGGATATGAGCTGAACAGCAGGTGGGCGTGACGGGGCTTTTACAGCCATCATTCGCCATCCGACATCCAACGCAGTTGATTGCGCAAAGGCCATGGGTAAAAGGCTGCAATCTGCTATTGGTGTTCCAGCAAAAAGTAGAATCTGGCATGCTCTTCTCATTGCACAGTCCAGAGGCAGTGGGAGGATATAATGGGTGTTGCATAAGGCCACAAGCCACGACGAGTATCCGGCTTGTCAGCCAACGGCTTAGCATTTAAATGGCAGCAAGCGCTTTAGCCCTTAAGAGCGTTTCCATGGAAAACACTTACCTCTTCTACAAGTTGAAAAAAACGCCAGGTCTTAAGGGTACGGAAAGGCGTTTGTGGCTAATGGCAATTTATTATCGAATATTTGCGCAACTAATGCTGAATCTGCCAGGAATCTGGTTGGTTTGTTGAGCACAAACAGCAATGCAGGTTCGAATTTGGATTAGAAAAAGGAAGTGCACAGATTCGGACTAAAGGATACCCTGCGGTAGAACTTCACAGAGTCGGATCTTCAAGTGTATTGCTGTTTCCTTAAAATATAAATACCCCCAAAAGGTCACCCATAGGGTACGCATCCAAAAGGTTTCGGCCCGGCAGGAACACACACAAGTATACCAAAGACCATCAAAGTCAACAGTTTTTAAAACCGCAAATAAAAGGGAGAACCAGAAAAATCTGGACCGAGGGGCAGTACACGATCTGGAGAATGAATGAAAGTGAATGAAAGCCATAAAAAGGCCAAAAAAATTGTGGCCCGGAGTGTAACCATAAAGAGCGTGTAAGCCGCAAACCCCATTCCCGACCAAGGGGAAAGGTCAATGCGAGAAGCGTTGGGCAAAAAATAAAATAAAAGAAAAAGTCGCCGCAGTCACCAAAACAGGAGAAAACAGAACAGAAAAGAAAATCATCGAAGAAAAGCCGGAGGTTTGAAGGCAAACGCCATCGATGCGTGCACATAAAAAAAGCAATTCCAATACGAACAAGTACATACACGTTGTACATAGAATGTTGTATATACTTATGACTATGTATAACTAACTAGTAGTTTGATAGAGCTGATACTCTGGAGAACTGCAGAGCCACACTCAGAGCTAGCTGTACCGTCTGTGCCCCCTTGGCGAATTCTCTTTTCCTTGGCTTTACTTTCCAGGGTATTCCCAGTTTTTCTTTAGGCAGCATCGTAAAAGCCGCCAGAAACCACTGATATAAACCGGATACCGCTACAGAAACAGGGACTGGGACAATGAGTTCCAATATAAACTTTTCCAACGCGTCAGTCGTAAACTTTAAGTTATTTATTTGGATCTTTTAAAGCTCACAATTTGCATTCCATTCCGGCAGAAAGGAGAGCCGTCCCAAAGGCGGCACAACGGGCAAAAGGAAGAAGCTAAGGCAGACAAAAGAGACATTGTTTTTGCCAAGGAATCAATTACATCCACAGTTCGCCCAAGGGAGAGCTCCATGCCAGAGCAGGCTCCCTCTATCATCTGGCTGCAAGCGATTTTTGATTAACTTCCGCCCACGAAGGACACTGGGAGTAGGCAGGACAGCGGAGAGGGAAGTACTACTCGCATAATGCATGGGGGAGCAGGTAAAATAATAAAATTACGTTCTGATTTCAGTCCCCTCCAGCCCCAGCCTTCCAGGCCGAATATCGTGACATACACGTGCCCAAAAATAGCAACAGCTTGTTGGAAGAATCCCAAAAAGCCCCTATCCCTCCCCTGTTGCTCGATTGTTACAACAGTTGCAAAATATATATGTATATATTAAAGGAACAATGAAACATCATGCTTTTCCAACAAGAACGAAATACATCGGAGATAAACAGTTGGATTAGTTCTTGGCCTCGGCAAATCCAATCCGATGATTGCCCATATCAAACTCTGTGTAGTATTTGCCCAGAAAGACGTCCCCGAGTATCCACAGGGGACCACTGGGCGAGGGCAAGTCCACGCCGATGATGGCCGAGAAGCAGATCTCGCGATCCTGGTAGACGTCGCGGAAGATGTAGTTGCTGCCGTCCAGGAAGAACTGTTGACTCCCGAGCTGAAAGGTCAGTCGTGGCAGCTGCGGAACCTGGTCGCAGGGAACAGAGTACTGGCCATACTCGGAGGGTGTCCCGCCTATCGACTCGTTGATGAGAATCGCCTGGTCGTAGGGCAGGGCCAAGAAGGAGGTCCCCGTGTCGATGATGACCTCGCAGCCATGCTGGCAGAGTCGCAGGTCGTTGATGGTAGCCGCCTCCATCCTCACCTGCCAGTAGGCGCGACGGCTCACCGGAACGTAGGTGAAGTTGCCTCGGTAGTACCTCGGATTGGATCCCCCGAAGAACAGTGCTCCCCCCTCTGGGTGCTCCTGCTCCCTGTTGAGGTACACACTAAACACGGGGTTGCTGAGGAGCTTCTGCTCCATTATCGCGTAGAATGGAGGCTTAACACCCTGCATGGAGATGCTTTGATAGGCCAGCCCGAAGATCCCATCAAATTTTGCTGCCAGGAAGATGGGGCCCGGCATCGTGGTGACCTCTGCGAATGTCTGATTCTGGATCTCCAGGCCAGCCACCCGCACCGTGTCGCTGGAGAGGTAACCGGCCAGACTCCCGCTGCCGTAGTGAATGGCGAAGCGGACCCCGTTCCGGCGATGGCTGCTCGACTGCCGCGCATTGTAGCGACTGTGCACCATGCAGGCCACCATCGTGGGGGCGCAGCTGGTGGAGGGTACCCACAGGTTCGAGGATCCCGTGTCGAAGATCACCTTGAAGGTCTGCGGCGGGCTGCCGATGGTGATCGGCCCAAAGTACTGAGCGTCTAGGTAGTTGCTCAGTGGCTCGCTTCTCACCTCCCAGCCGCCTCTCGGCCGACTGCGCCCATCCACTCTGCTGTACTTCAGTCGGAATCGATCCATCCGTATGCCAAACTGCACGAAGCGATTCCGGGCCGAGGGAAACCGACGCAGCGGCACGCGGTACAGCTCCGTGAGGGGGCTGGGTGCCACAAGGGGCGGCAGTATGAGGGACAGAAATAACAGCCACATACTGGAATCAATATCCTTTGGAATCCAATGTCTATCGAATATGATTGTTGATGTGAAAGTCAGAGGCAAAGTCAAATCGATTCAAGTCAATTCTGTAAGCCCTGTGCATATGCCAAGATTCCAATTACACCGAAGGAATACCCTACAAGACGGCCCACTTCAAGGGGAGTGCGCCTTAACGCCGGGTCAAGGAAAATGCCAGACTACCGCGCCAACCCATAGGGCATTAAACAGCACGAAAATTTCCATGACATTGTAATTGGAAATGTGAAACATTTCTGAAAAGGGATTTTTCAATTGAACTCCCTTTGAATCGGGTCAGAGCGGGGTGGCAGGGAGTGCGGGAAAATGCTTTTTATTGCAATACGAAAACTGTCAAGGTATCGGATTTCCAGTGAATGAATGTGTGAATACTCGTTCTCATAATTGCAGTTGCTGCTTTTGCTGCTCCACTCGATTGCACATAGGTTCCAGATCCGCACAGACAGGTATTCAATTTGAATGTGTATCCCTTTGCTGGTTGAGTGTTGTAAGTGTTTTCACCCGTAACATTCTTCTGTCAAGGGCAGACAGACCGCAAATCCATAGAAGCCGCAATTTGTATACGCCCCGTTGTCTGGCCGAAATGTCCTACAATTAAAACGTCGACATTCTGGCTAATGCGACAATAACAGTTCTGACAGTTAAGGCCCGACATAAAAGTGGCGAAGCGAAACGAAAGAACGAAACGGATTCGCAGATCCCAAAACCATTTCAGTGAGTCCTTTTCTGTCACCTTCAGGCTCCTGTCCTGTCTGTCAGTGACAGGCCACACCTGCGCTAATGGCCGCCCTGTTGGGGGGCTACAACAATGATATCGGTGCTCCTTGGCATTATTCTTATCGCCGATCAACACTGAAGCCAGGCAGGAGGGAAGGCAGGTCAACTCAATTAATTACTGCCGTGTGCTGTGCTATGCTGTGCTGTGTTTCAGGCCCAAAAAGGATTGTCCCAGCAGCTTTGATGTTGGACACGTTAATTGAAAGCGAAACTTGTGCAAATAACATTATCGGAAAAATTCAAATTGCATTAGTTGGCAGGGGAGCGAGCCTGAAGTGGCATTCAGTTAAGCAGGAGGCTCTCATTGAATTAGGCAAACACAATTAGGGAAGAAGGAAAACTTTTGGATTTCGGTGCGATGCTTGTCCTGCCACGCAGAAGATGTGCCAGGGTCAAAAGTCATGTCACCAAAGGAATTCAGTAGGGTGGTAAACTTCTTTGGCAACACTTGTTGATATTTCTGGCAAAGAAAAAGTTTTGTGTCCACCACAAGGTGTGGCCAAAAAAGGCAAAAGGTAAGCGGAAATTGCCCACAGAAGCAGCAGTCAACACATTTTGTATTCCTTGATGCTTATAAATTGGGTTTTCGGTCTCCCCAAAAAAGGAGATGGAGTTCCTTTTCGCTCGACTGCTGCTAATACGAAAGAGATGGACTGACAAGTAATGAAGGAGAGGGAGAGTGGAAAGACCGCAGCAGCTGGCCAAAAGTTGTTGCCAAGAAGTGCAGGTCCCTTTCCCACAAAAACCAATTATACCATCCAACTCTCGTTCAGCATTTCATATATTGGTCCGAAAAATATATGTGCATGTATTCTCCCCACAAAAACAGCAAAAGGGAAAAGGTTGCGGCTTGCTCTTTAAATGGATTCCATTCAAGTATGTTTAGACACACTCTATGCTCGTATAAGTACTATCTGTACCCAAGACTGACTTGTTGCCTTGCTGTATTATTTATGAGCCAATTAGAGATCCCGAAACAACACAGAACCAACTTTCTGCAGGGAGTTTTGTGTGCTGTTCATTGATTTCTTTACACAAATTTGCCGCACAAAACCGCCAGAGAAACTTTCGCTCCGAACCCCAGCACCGAACCTTAAAAGTAAGCCACAGAATCTTTAACCCAGAAACAGCGAGTTATGTATGTATTCTGTGGTATGCACTATTGCCGCTACTGTGCTGCAAATGTCAATGCTGCATCTTGAAATATGTAAATAAATTGCCAATGCCACAAGACCCACAGGATAGAGAGAAAATGGAAAAGTTTCTTCTGACGAAGGTGTTAAATTTCAGAGGATTGAATGATTATGCGATGAATAAAGTTTGAAACTAATCAATAACCATGCAGCATATTCCAGGCAGAAGTTTTTTGCCATCGGGAAAGCAGCGGAGGTCGCTCTCCTCACAGAACGAGCACACGATGCGGTCAACCTATTCGTCGACAGCCAAGCGGCGATAAGATCCATGCAGTCGTCCGTGGTCAGTTCCAGAAGTGTCTTGGCGAGCAGGGAGGCATTAGACATCCTAAGCACGACAAAGACAGTGCGGATCTATTGGGTTCCCAGCCACCAGGGCATCGAAGGAAACGAAGCGGCGGACGTACTAGCTGAGGAGGGCGTCGGGCTGGAGAATAGGAGAACCGAGAACGTGCCTGTCTCCCTCAGAACGCTGCAAGGCGATCTAGAGAAGCAGGCTAGAGCACAGACTGATAGCAGGTGGAGGAGTACCACCACCTGCAGAACCTCGAAGATAATGTGCAAGGAGCGCAACGAGAAACTTAGCCACTACCTACTGCACCTACCACGAAAGGACTGCAGACTGATGGTGGGAATACTAACAGGTCACTGTCTGGCTGCTGCACATGCAGCAAAGCTAGGCATCACCAACAGAGACAGTTGCAGGAAATGTGAGGAACCTGGGGCTATCGAAACCCTGGAACATCTCATCTGCAACTGTCCGGCTCTCTCAAGGGCAAGGAGGAGATACCTGGGCGCCCCAGTGTTGGCATCACTGGAAGATGCCTCCAAAAGGACGCCTCAGGAACTGCTGGCCTATGCTAAAAACACCTCGATTCTCGGGGACTTTTTAAAACCACATTAACACTCCCGCGATGGTTCATACACCCCCCCATCCGGATAACTAAGGGCCATATTGGCCTATGCGCGGCCCCGCTGAGGGCCGTCCGGGTTAACCTAACCTAACCTAACCTAATCAATAACCAGCAACTTTTCACAGTCACAGTCACGGCAAAGTCACATGTGAGAGGAGGGTGTAACAACAGTTTTCGACTTTTAATGGGCATAATTTGATTAACTTATGACCCGATTAACATATCAAACTCTGTTCTGCGTATACTTCTCCTCAATTAAACAGTTAAGAAGCGTTTAATGTGATTTTCACTCTGGCATTGATGGATATCCAGAGTTGTGACGTTTCTGCTGCTGATGGGGCAATCAATTAAGCGAACGCGGATGTCAAACACTTTGCCACTCAAAATTTGATTGATTTTCTCTAGTAAAAGCAGGAACCTCTCCTATTTGAGAGCCCCAGATATCTCCGTAACTAGGCCACGGAAGAAAGCGAAATACACCACTTCAGACGAATACGTATACGTGATTCTGCAATGGTGGCCCCAACAAGAAGAAGGAACAGTTTCAACTGCCAGCCATTGCTTTGCTTGAATTCGATTAACATAGAGAACATTGAAATTGAAATGTACCAGTGGCAGTGCCAGTGCCAGTGCCGGTGCCAGTTTCACAGCCATTGCCAGTGGAACCGCTGCTTTCTCTGACAGCTTTAAGTTCCATTTCCCCCTCAAGAGCATGTCCAAAGTTTCCTTCAACAATTACAGCGTTGTCAGAGCCTGGCACAACAAATATTTAATTAGTCCTCGCCCCCAAAGCAGAGATGAGACTGGGGCTCAGCTAAGCGGATCGGGTGGCAGGGGGCAGGGGGCAGGGGGCAGGGGGCAGCACCCACAGCACACATCCTGCGGGCAAATTCTGTTTGCCACTTGCAGCCAGTCGAGCGTGAGGCAACACGTCAGATGGAATCCATTCTGTGGCCGAAGATTAAAGCGGAATTCCAGCCGCCAACTAGGCGAAAGCTTTCCCACTATTCATAATATGCGAGAATTTACACATAATTAAAGGAGATTCGGTGAAAGGCGGGGCCATAAATCACAGTCGGGGCTCCAGTGAACTGCAGCCACAAACCCCATATAGGCACAGAATCGGACATACTCGTATCTAGGTGGCATTCATTCACTTATGCATATTCCATGGGTCTCGTCTGACCTTTGGGCTGTTAATTAATCTGCTTCCAGGCGTTAATTAAATCAGTCAGGAAAAACCTTTGCTCAAGATTCCCGTACAAAGGCCTAAGAGAGGTTTAATTGAGTTCCGTTTGGGCAGTTGCCAGTTGCTGAAGTTGCCATTTTACATTTTACGCGCACAATTTGGTTAATTAAAATGCTACAATTGGGTTGGCATTTTTGTGGCGCCTCGTTTGACGTTCTACCAGCCACTCCTTCACGTTCTCCCTCTGCCTCTTATCTACTTCAGGCAGGTGGCAAGTGTCCTTGTCCTTGTCGCTGTCGCCCTGTCGCCCTGTCGCCCTGTCGCCTTCGTGGAGTTGAGAGGCACTTCAAGGCGGCAACTGCACACATCGCATATGCTGATGAAAGCGAGAAAAGTGCTCAACAATCAAAGGAATGGAAAGGGTGGCATGGCGACATGGCTGGAGTGAGACCTGCCTGCCATACACTGTTGTGATTATACCACATTAGTGCCTTTGCCGTCTCGTACCACTCTTTGTTCAACTGGGTTTCATTTTTCAGGGAAACACAATTAAGCAAAGTTCCCACTTCCGCTCACATTTCACGTCCAAAAGCCGCACAGAAGAAATGTTTAAGAGTAAGAAAGAAATCCCTGCATATCAAACGAACACGAGAACCCCAACATGCTCCGCATTCTTCGTGCACATTAAGTATTTATTTATATTTTATTTTTATTTCGTTTTTTTCCTCTTTTTCCTTTTGGCATGCAGCTCGACAAAGAGGAGCAGTATCCTTATTTGGGGTGGAACGAGTACTCTTATTTGTGTTAGTTTCTCCATTCGCTTTCATGGTTGGTCCTTCACGCTCTGTAGTTGCCCTTATGGCTTTCGTACCGCGTAGTCCCGAGTAGCCAGGGTGTACTTGTATTGCAACCATAAAAGAATTGTCTACTGCTATCATCTTATTTTCATAGAAATCAGGTAATCTTTCAAAAAGCTTACACTACGTTTTACCTCTTGTCCATAAAGTCATTAAGAGGTATCAAAATGTCGAGCCTGGATGCAAAGAGCAAAGCTTTTTCAGTTCATTTTATCATCACTTGCCCGGGGCCCAGCTCATGCAACATTCATAAGCATTCTGGGAGCTCTTCGGCCCCCTCTTCTCCTGCAATTTGACAACGTCCAACTTATTATATGCAGCAAGATATTTGGCTAAATATTATCGGGGGAATACCTCAGATTGTGCAAAAGTTTCTTGAAGAGAGTTTGACCTTTTTCATAGCGAAGAAATGGGCGAAGAAATGGGCTACTCGCTCTTCACCGCCCCCACATCCAGCCCAAAGGTTGGGTCTAATTAGCGAACAATTAGCCGAATCCATGGGCAGTTTTCTAATTACGAGCCCCAAATTTATATTAATTATGGATATAATTGGTTCGAATATTTGGCTGCTGGTTGCGTGGGCAGTGATTGGATAAGTGACAGAAAATTGTATATATTTTAAAGAGTAGCTTACTCGAAATTCTGGAGGTTCCGACATCCATCAGAACTCAATTGAGACTTGTTGGTTGCCTGTAAATTTAGTTGTTGAAAAACTTTTCATTCTTGGTTCCGCCAGTTCGTTTGTGCTTAGAACTTGGAAACTCTATATAAACTTAAACATTTGTGTGCGTTCCATAAACTTGCTCAACTTCCTTGCCACAACAGATGCTCCAACGCGCAACATGCTAAGTTTTAGCTCATCTTTGAAGCTGAATAAAAAATGGGATGTTACAAATTGTTGAATACATATTGTGTGACAGTAGACACACATCAAACGACTCAAAAACATTCAATAGCTCAGCTCTAATCCCCTTGAAGATATAAAAAGAAATCCATTGTGAAGTACACTCAAGTAAATAGACCATTTATTCAGATGCTGGGGGATGTATCCTCCGTACAGAAAATTGTTCCATCAACAGCTACAGTTTGAATATATTGTACACACAAAATAGTATTGGCTAAACGAGTACTATGTATGTACCTCATGTATTGTTTGTATATGTTCAGGTGTAGGTTTAGGTGTAGGTTTAGGTGTAGGTTTAGGTGTAGGTTTAGGTGTAGGTTTAGGTGTAGGTTTAGGTGTAGGTGGGGGGGTTTGGTTGGTAAGTGGTTCACCTAGACGACATTTAACTTGGTTTTGCTGCTCTGCTGTGGCTTGGGGGCTGTGGCTGTGGCTGGGCCTGGTACCTGGTCTCCTTCCTTCCATCATCGCCATTCACGCTAATATCTAGTACTACCTCATCGCACTCGCAGATCTCCGTTCGGAAATGGAATTCAATGAAAGTTCAGTCTCTTAAGATGCACTTGCCTTGCTAAAATCTTCTCTGGGGAGTTGTCTCTAAACGGAGTTCTCCTCGAGCCCTTGCTGCAACTGGAAAATGATTAGCAATAGAACGGGGAGCACGGTTTGTCCTATTTACTACCTTCATCAGAGGACTGATTGCACGGGGCATAACACTGAGTGTACTGCCTGAGCATGTGGTATTGCCGCCTCCGGTGTGCAGGGCGTTGTTGGAGCCCCGGTGCAGGGCGAGGCAGGGGGGATGCTGCCCCACCAGTGTCGTGGTGGTGGCCGAGCTTACACAGGACTCCCGCTTGCCGCGTCCGTAGTAGCTGGTCAGAGGCCTGCAATGGATATCAGATGACACGCAGATTTAATCCCACTCTCCCGCACATCCAATTATCATCTTCCCCGTCCACTTACCGCATACTCTCAGCCCGCGGCGAGCTGCCTCCCTTGGAGAAACTTTTCGTGGTGTACCTGTCGAGGGGTGCAGAATAGTAAAGACCAGGGATGAGTGTGGTCAAGCTCCAGCTTTGTTGGACTCTATATCCCTATACCCACCGTCGGTTCTGGCTCTGCTGGATGTCACGCGTGTCCCGCCACGTGGATATGTGGTGTCGCAGGGCATTGCGCACCTCCGAGTTGAGGAAACAGTAGAACAGCGATACGGAGAAGCCCTGCCAGGTGCGAGGCGATGGTTTCACACAATCAGGGAGAGAACGATAGTGGAAAGCAGGAGAGAACCCACCTGTGTACTCAGCAGAACAGCACGTAGAACGGCGAACATGTGACCCATGAGGCCGACCTCCGACGGCCCGGCCAGCACCACCAGGTAGGTGATACCAAAGAGGGGTATGAGCACCAGCAGCGCCTTGGCCGCCTTCCTATACTGGCGCGTCTCCACGGTATTGGCCGAGCGCAGCTTGGTGATGAGCACCTGGAAGATACGATTAGTGCCGGCTGCTCTGCGCTTGCTGCTTTCGGATGCACTCACCCACATGATGCGCAGCAGGAAGGTTAAATTGATGAGCAGCACTGCACAGACGGGTCCCTGGAATATCCAATCCACATTCGTCTCCTCCATCCACGGGCAATTGATGTCATACTTTCGGGAACACAGGGAGGCAGAAAATATTCAAAGGAGAACGTATGGAAGGAACGCCCGGAGAGACTTACCTTCTCGGAGCTGTTGTAGCTGACAGTCAGGCTCTTGGCCACCAGCCAGGTAATGACAAACAGGGCCGGACCACCTGGCCAGCAGCGGAGGAGGAGAAGTCAGGAGAAGTTTAATTGGCTGTTTGCAGGGGGTGTCCGCCTACTTACCCCATCCGATGGAGGCGTAGATGTTGAAGCGTATGTTGTCGCCGGAGAAGGTGTTTACCACCAGCATGTACAGATAGAGGCCCTCCACCAGCATCCAGAAGAAGTTCGTCAGCGTGAAGAAGTGGAAGAGCGTGACCAGGGCAATGCAGCTTGCCTGTCCGCTTCGAATGGAGATCTAACAAGGGCCAAGTTATCAAAGGAAGGACACCAGGTAACTCAACTCCTCAACCCACCTGCACCGATAGCAACAGTATCCAGAACAAAGCCGACATGATGTACGTGAAGAACAAATTGGCGTGAATGGTGTTGCGCAGGCAACGCAGCTCCCTGGGGGGAGGGGGGTGGTAAGGAAATTTGAGAAGGAGCAGTTGCGGGCAACTCAGAATACTGGAACATATTCTAGGGCTCTCCACTTACTTGAAGTAGGCAAAGACAATCAGGGCGAGGCTGAGCGAGACCAGGCTGAGGGCGTAACCGATGTAGTAAATGATGGTTGGCAGCTCCACAATGACCTCGAACTCCGTCACCGAGTGGGAGGCTGGTAGATGGGCACAGGCATCGTAGTTGGTGTACTTCTCCCACGTTCCATTCGCATGGCAGAAGCGGGTGGCGTTCTCTGAGGGTTCAAAGGTTAATAGAGGGGCAACCCTTTTCAACCCTATTCAATCTATAACCACTCACTGCTGCTGTCGTAGTGTATCCCCTGCAGCTCGTCCATGCACTGGAGCACGGCCAGAGTGCCGCGCGCCGTTCGGGGCCAGCACAGGATCGAGTCGAACTGGGTGAGGCAGTGGTCGCTGGCATTGCCGTAGGTCGTTGAATCCATGTGCTCCTGCACCAGGCACTGCAGCTCCACGCTCGCCCCGATTCCGTCCAAATTGGACAGCATTAACAGCGGATCGATTCCGCTGCTGCCATTGGCGGCGACTGCCGCCTCCATGTAATTGTGGTCACTCATTGTGTTCCAGGGTTCCAGCACTCACAATCACACTCACTGCACCACCATTCTGTGGCTGCCCTGAAACCACCTGGGGGGCGAGTCGAGATGTGTATCAGAATAACATTGTCCGGGGACAATGTTCCCTGAATCGTTCAGGAAGTTGAATTGTTGCAATTGTTGAGGGACTGCCCGGACCCCTTTTGACCAGAGCTTGCGGCCTTTTGCCACAGTGTACGTTAATTGCATTGATACTGCCACACCCCCACTCTGTGCTGTGGCCCCAGGGCAATTGGTTTCCACTTAAAGGGGCAAGAAATCAGTTCGGGAGCGAACTTAAAGGTGTCCGATTCGCCATATTCATGGCGAACAGGAATGGTCAGGCCGAGTGCCATAAAAATTCATTAGTTTCGCCATCAAAAGGCAGACAGAAGCGTCAGCAGATTGAAGGGGGAAAAGAAAAGGCTCTCTGGTGGGTGCTGCCACAGCAGAGCAGACATGTGGCCATAAAAAGACCACCCACAAGTCAAAGGGCTCACCAGTCAGGGCACATGGTTTTACTTAGAAATTAGAAACGCTAACTTCCTGCCAGCGCCTGCCAGCGGGTGTGGCCTGGTTGTGTGGCTTTGGGTGGTTCTGGGTGGTTCTGGGTGGGCCAGGGCGGTGCCTTCAAGTCAGCATCAGCAAGCGGAAATCTCACATTTTAGCTCTGATAATAAATGGCATAAATGATGCATCGTTACATTAATGTATGGCATAAAACAGGGCGGCAGTAGGAACACACCCAACCCATGAGTGGAAAACCTTCCAAATAATCTGATGCTGTACAGTGAGTGACGAAACCAAGCAGAAGGCCCTAAGCAACCAGGCAAGTTTAGTCCGAAAAGTTTTCCCACAGCGTTTAACCAAATTCCCCGGAAATGAAAAGTTTTCCGAGTGGCCAACAGGACGTATGGATATTTGAGACACAATTGAATGGGTTTCCAGAGAACAACAAATTGTTCTCCGTAAATTTAATTTCTTTTGAAAATCAATACCTAACCAATTTTTTAATTGAAACGACACCGATTCCTGGTCACAGAGCTCCACGCAATCCATGAAATATGAAGTCCGCAGGCGAACTCCACACCCCTGTGGGGGCTCTACTTCTGGTTCCCACAGTGGCTGGTGGTACTTTGCCTTTCTTTTGCCGGTTCATTGCCTAATGTTGTTCCTTTCTTGTTGTTTAGGGGACATGCTCGTAAATTAGAGCAATGCATGCACATAAAACAAAAGAAAAGTTGATTATTACGACCCAACACTCCGCACGGACCCTGGCACAAAGTCTGCTCCGAAGTTCTCTCGAGCACAACGCATTCATTAGCTTCTCGCTAAATTATAACACATACGCCGCGTTGCCTTTTAAGACACCCTCGCGCCAAGGACCGCCACCGACCAGCAGCAGACATGAGAAATGAGTTAGGGCCACAATACATAAAACACAAAGTAAAACTCAATTTTAAGTTGAAAATTTTGTAAATTCGCTGGAGAGAAGAAACGGAAGAGAGAAAAGGGAATCGCCCGCCTCTAATTACCTCATAAATAAAGCCTCAGCAGAATTGCCAAGTCAGTGGAGGACTAAATTATGGCCAGAACTGCTAATTGCATATTTGATTTCAATTAAATCCGACAAACAGTACAAAAAAACAGCGGCCAAAAGAACACATAAGGCAGAAGGATATTTTTTATTTGCGTTTAAATGCAAATGCATTCTGACAGCACGAATGGAGGCAAATCTCATTTATGGGCAGTCAACTTGATGAATGTCCACCCCATCGGCCAGAAACTGGAAGAGCACATTCAGCAGGGCTCCCCCCAAAAAAAAAAGGACATTACCAGAAATAAACACAAGCAAACGAAATGGGACTCGACCGACATATGATGTAGATGAAGATGGACAAATCAAATGCGCAGCCCCAGAGATCACAGGGGAATGGAAGTGCCTCCCACAATCCCTCCTCCTGCTGTTCGTGCTATTATAGAAGATTGTATCTAATCTCGTACGATTGCACACAATGGATTTGCCAAAGGCGACACAAAATGCGAAAAGGAGAAAGGACCGAGATTCCTTGTGGGTTGGTTCTTGGGCCATGTGAGAATTTCTGCAATTTCCGGCTGCTGCTTTAAGGCTTATAAATGTTTGCCGTTGAGGGGGATTTCTTTAGAGAATTGAAAATATAATAGAAATCCGAGTACGAGTGCGAGTGCGTGTGTGGTCCCCATTTAGCATTCCCCGACATTCTCCCACTCTTTACATATACAACATTAAATCGAGTTTGCGGGTTTTCGGTCCATTGAAGGATCTTTGGGGCTCGTTTTTGTAATTGGCCAACATGTTTCATTCTCGCCCAGGACAACGCCAGGAAGTGCTACTTTCTGGGCTCATTAATGTAGCTCATTAAATTTTATATGCATAAACAGAATCCAGACAGCAGAAGGCAGCAAACAGCAACAATGAACATATTAAATTCATAAGCTTTGTCGTGCGAGGCAGCACAGAGAAATAACGTATACGCAGCATGGCCAAGAGGAAGAAAGGAAGAACAGACTGCCCCCAACGATATGGGGTATAGAGAAAGTTTTTAATGAAATTGCTCATTTAAGCGAGAAAACATTGTTTCGGATCGGAAAGTTATCGCACACTTTGATGTCGGTAAATTCGGGCTTCCCCCCAGAAGGAGAAAATTTTTGCATTTCCCACACTTTTATTTAGCCTTCGGGGGCAATCAAATTTGATGGTCGATGGTCCACCACATGCCCCAAAGGTAGTAAGAGACGGTCTAGACAATCGAGTATCATAATTTGCAGGCACGCAAGTCCTTTTCGATTTCCGTTTCCGCTCGGACCTTCATTCTCTGCTTAAGTCAGCACAAGCTCGTATCGCATCTGGAAGGAGCAGCGGAAGGGGCGGCACTCAAACGATTGCCAACAAGTGTGGCATTTTATTGTCTGGCCTTTAACGGCTTTCCGCTCATTGTGTGGCACGTGCAGGTCGCACTGCAACAGCAACAGTAGGAGCAGTTACGTGAGGGATTTTAGCTTCTCGAGTTAAATCCATAAATATCTGCCACAAAAGGCAAACAAGCCAGAAACAGTGGCAGGAGATCCTGTGGGCCAAATCTGATATTTATTGGCTCAATAAAAATTCGGTTTAATGCATTACAAGTGTGTCGAAATATGTGAGAGATTTTCACAAGATTTACGGCGGAAGTCCATAAAGCAAAGGGGCAACAAGTCCCGAAGCCCTGCCTGGTTATCAGAGATGGATTGGGGTGTTTCGTGTTCCACCACCTGGAGTGGATTTGCCCAATCGATTCCGCAAACACGCCATACAATGGCCCTATTGGAATTTGTGGATTTTCCCTTGAAACCGCTGCATTCTGCACATTCTGTAGCCCATTGTTCCCCATGCGCCTGGGTGTGGGTGTGTATCTGTGTGTATGCGTTGGCATTTTAATTAACCGCAAATTGTTTGCCATTCTTTCTGCACACCCATCAGTAGCCAGCCTCCATACACATCCAGGGATACAGAGGGATATCTCTTACATTGTTTGGACCCAAATCCTCCTTCTTCTCCGAACGAGCGTTGGGTTCTCTCGTATCCTTTGGGATTTCCTTTTTCTTATATTTTACACTTGCAGATTGCCGAGTTTAACGGGGATTTTTCCACTGACCACAGAGTGAGAGCGACAGTCCTTTGTCCCTTGGGCCAGGACAGCCACTTACTTGACCCGGCTTAAATGTGTTTAACGCCTTCTGAGCTGCCAAATGATGATGTTTGAGCTGTTTTCGTACGAGTATCTGTGCGAGGGGAACGCGCGGGTGTGTGGGTCTCCGCTTACACCAGTCTGTGCCTGTGTCTGTGTGTTTGTTTGTCTAGTTGCCTTGGTTATGGATGGACAGACACACACCCCACACACACAGAGCAGAGAACTTTATGGTTTTGGCATTTACACTCGCATTTTTATCCAGGATTATTTGTTATAGTCACACTCGCACTTGCACAATAACTATAAGCCCTTTATGCGGCCATTGACTTTATGACATTTTTCTTTGGCAAATTCTTTCTTTATAAAGCCTTTAAAGTCTTTAAAAGATTCGTTTTGTCCCGAGTATTTTTCAAACAATATGATTTTGAAAATATTTTTTGCTATCCTTTTTCAACTTTGGAATTTCCCAGAAGAACCGCACTCGCTCACATCCCGTTGATAACTGAAGCCGATGGCCGCAGGAACCATCTTAACAAGCCGCAACATTTTGACGTTCTTACCAAAAGGCGCGAAACGCCTTTGCGACCCACAATGGGGAAAGCTTTCCAAAGCTGCGTTCCACAAGAGCTTTTGACGCCAGGCAACAGGTGGGACCCATTTGTTTTTTTGAAGGGACATGATGGGGGATGCCCCGTGTTCTCTGGTCAATGCAGTTCTACAATAATGCCTGAAAATCTGGATATTTGATTTACGCAAATATTTGCTGGGCCCGATATTTGCTGAGCATTTCGCTGGCTGGGGCTTAAGTCTGTTTACTTAGGTCCCGTGGACCGAGTAGAAGGGATGTGGGTATTGGAATTGGTTTCAGGGATCCATCCCTTTGAAGTCCCACGTTGATTTAATTGCCACAGCTTCGATGGCACCCCAGGTGTGGAGGAGGATGTGGATGTGGGCTAGGCTAATCAAATTAAACTCGAGTGGAGTGGAGCTCTGGCCTGACAGTTATTGAAATATCAATATGGGGACGCGTGGGGATGCTTCAGGCAAATGGTTCCGGGAAATTTGCTGAAATTAAATTGTAGGGAAAACAACAGACAGAATTTTTTTTGTTATATTTACGGAAGCTTTTTCCTCCACTCTTAAGTTTGATATTACAATGATAAACATTTAGACGGCGGCTGCGGGCTCTGGTATGTGTATGACACGCAGGGCACACACACTCGTAGCATGGGGATGGGGGGCGGTGGAGAGTAGGGAGTCGCATGTGGGTGTGGTATGCGCGATGGCAACATCCTTATCCCAACTGTTTGATTTTCAAACAAATGCTAATGTCAACTGCCACTCAAAGGCATTTAAATTCCAATTTAAAAATGCTTTCTCTCTCTACGTATAGTATCTCTGTCTCTGTGGGTCTTTCCCATTTTGTGTGTCCCTGTGTCTCTGTATCCCTGTTCGCATTAAAGCGTTTATTCTGTCGCATGCAAATTTAATATCACACGCACTTGGAGTGGTTTTTTATTCCATTTAAATGTTCGGCAAACCTTTTTTTCATCGATGAGTGCCAGTTTTCCTCGATTTCCGTTCCCCTTGATTTTACCGAGAACGTTTTCCATTCAATGATTATTCCCAGAAGAGAAAAAGCGTCAAAGTTTTTCCATTTACTACACCAAGAAACTTCCACACAGAGTAGAACGCGCTTTTGCTGCAGCTAATACCGAGATCTTTCAATTAAAGCCAGTTGGGAAATGGAAAAACTAGTATGAATCAAAGTGCTCCTCTGCGATAAGTCAGTCTTAAGAACTTGAGAAGTGTCTTACTTCCAATCGAAGAAGCGTGCAAGGAAACATTGAGGCAATCGCTTCGTGCCTCCCAAAGCCATCAGCTTAGTGGTTAAGAGCATACGGAGGAAATCAGTGAGCAGAAGACACAATAAGCAGGCGACAGACGAAAAATGGAAAAGCTCCTTCCACACGAGGGTGGGCTTGAGCTTGAGCACTCAACAATTACTTAGCAGCCATTCACCACCTCCGTTTCACGAGGGGCTCGTGTTTCAACAAGCTCATTAATTGCACGCCGCACTAATGAGAACAGCTAAAGGATTTATTCTCTCTCACCGGGATATCTGTTTGGATACTGGCTGACTCATCCCCTTCCTATACTCTATTCGAGATTGTTCTTCTGGTATTTCCCCAATTGAAGTCACGCACGAGCTGATGCACTCGCAATCAACCGGAATCGGGGTTCCGTTCATCAGTCAGTCAACCTCTTTTTTTGTTCCGGTGCCGATGCCGGGGGCTGATGTTTGCTTACAGCCTTCAACAGACGCATTGAACCAACAAACAAAAAACAAATCCCAAACGACCCGATTTTATTACGGACTCATTAACAACCGGGCAGACTATTTGCCTATATAAGCGGACGTCGGAGGGTAACCGAATTTCATACATTTTCTGCCGCCCAAGTGGAGTTTAATCGTTAATCTGTAAATATGCCCGAGTTGGTGATTTATTTCTGGACTTTGATCTTTGTGCTGTGCCAAGCCCACGCACAGACCGCCTTCAATTGCACAGCACCGCCGAATTTCCAGAATTTTGTGAGTAGAACACACTCCACAAGAAGTCACGAGGTAAATTATTGGGGAGAACCTTTGCAGGACATCAATACTTGCTGTCGCACTCCGGAATTGGACATGGGAGATGTGCCTCAAAAGTGTCACAAGTACGTTAATCAACTGAAGTCCGCCAACTCGAAATATCCCAGCTATACCCATTTGGTAAGTCTGCATCTAAGAGAATATATGTATATGAACCTCTGCTCATCTTTGCTCCTTTTCAAAGTGCTATCCCGATTGCATTTACCGCGAGACGGGAGCCCTTGTCAATGGTAAACTCAGAGTGGACAGAGTGAAGCAGTACCTGGAGCAGCATGTCCATCAACGAGATCAGGATATGGTGGCCTACATCATGCGCTCCTTTGACTCTTGCCTGGGCAACAGTGCGTATGAGTATTGTCCTCTTTATAGAAACGCTTCATCCCATACTCTTTCTCTTAGTTAAAAGCCACATGAAGGCAGCCAACATAGAGGCTTACAAGGTGCTGCCGCACGGCTGCTCGCCCTTTGCCGGAATGGTCTACAGCTGCGTCAATGCCGAGACCTTCCTCAACTGCCCCCCCAGAATGTGGAAGAACGAGCGACCGTGCAACCAGGCCAAAGAGTTTGCAGCACAGTGCAATCCACTGCCGCATGTTCCGCTGCCCAGCAGCTAGAATACTTCGCATTCAACAACTGTCCACAAATATTTATAGTAAAAGATTCCATTTAGGTTTAATCTTTGATCTTTTTCGGGGGTCGAATAAATGTACGTTTCATAATTATCCATTGATCATTGCCCAGCAAATTGACCATGCAAAATGGGGCTCTTTTGTGCTGCTCCCATTATGACTCGCGATCAGTCAAAGTTTGATGTGCTGCAGAGCAACACCCGCCACTTGATAGTAGCCATGAATCAGCTAACACTCGTGTTTTGCCTGCTGCTTTGGTCTGAAGTAGATGGAGCCTTCAGGGACTTTGTGGTGGAACCAGAGGTGACTAACCCCAAGCTTACTCTAGCCAGTCATCCACTAATTCTTCCCTTAGATCGATTCAGAAGATAGCGAACTGGAAAATAATTTCCAGGACCGAGAGGGCGCTCTTGATGAGAATCTGCTCGTCTCGTTTCAGAGCGTAGAGCGTGATGGCATTGTCGATACTCAACTGCTGTTGAAGGCTCTCATGCAGCACGCCCAACGCCTGGGCCTGAGCTTGGATGAATTGGGTGAGAGCATTAACCACGATCAAATATCATTCCTGAACTCAAACGAACCTCAATTTTGGCAGCAAGCATGAGTTATGGGGAGGAGGAAGACGAGGAAGCTGCCAACCAGCTGGAGTCTATGTCCAGAAATCAGGATATGATGGGTTGTAATTCCAGGGATCAGGAAATGTTTGAATATGCCGATAGGCCCACATGGCGAGATGTTATCTTCAACTGATCCAAGAATAAATCATAGTGAATCATGATAAAAGCAGCTGGAAATGTTTATTTATTCGAGGATGTAGCGCACCTATTCACAGTGAATGCTGTATTCCCTAGCCTCGATGCACATGGTGCTCTTGCTGGACGCACTCTCCGGACAGTTCCTGTACACATACCGATGGGCGCAGAGGCCGTACATGACCGACATGGAGGAGCACTTACCGGTGATGGGCATGCGGCGACGCTTCAGGCTCTTGATCATGGCCTGCTCCTCTCCGGAACAGTGGTGAAAGCCCTCCGTATAGATATCCACAAACTCCTGATGGCTCTCCAACAGGGTTTCCATCATTTTACGGATATTTTCCATAACCAGACTGGTTCCGTTCAGGGCTTTCGCCGCTTCAAAAAGGCATTCAAAGCTGCACTGTAATTGCAGAGGGGATCATTAGGATCATTAAGGGATCCCCAAGATCCATAAAAATACTTACGGGTGTAATGTGCGCCCCATTGACCAGGTACTGGCCGCATTGCGAGGTGTATTTGGAAAGCTCCAGCAATGGCATTTTGCAACAGTTTTTCAATGCCTATTTCGAGGTAATATTGAATCTCCAGGATAATCTGTTGGCGGCTGACAATACTCACATTCAAGTCGGGACGTTGAGAGCAGTCCGGCTCGCCGGCTCCTGGACTGACCAGGAACGAGATCAGTATCAAAGCAAGCTGGTGTGGCATTTCAGGCACCTTCTGGTAACCGGACAGCACCAGATATCCCATATATACAATCCCAGCCGGATGCCCGAATGGCATTCGACTTGGTCCATTTACTGTTCATCCATCAAGAGAATGGGGTGCTCATTTACGATTATTATTCTTTTATTCAAATGGGTCTGGGACCACCACCACGTGATGCACGCATGGTTGGGCAGTGGAGGTTCTGGAGACGAGCCGTCTCGCACAGCTCCGTGTCGGACCAGCTGGACGAGGGACAATAGTTGAACATGTGTTTCGTAGTACAGATCCCATAGTAGAGGGGCACTGGGGAGCACTGCTCCACACCGGGCATCGGACGGGGTCTTTTGGACCTCAGCATTGCATCCACAGCCCCGGGACACTGCAACATTCCGTCCAAGTAGACGTCCACGAAGTCCTGATTGTTGCCCAGCAATCGCTGCAGCATGCTGCGGGCATTTTCCGCATCCACCTCCGATCCAGTTAGGACTCCAGTCGCATTGAAGATGCAGTCATAGAGGCACTGGCGCAAGATCAGAGAGGATTAGCAGAGGGGCTTGGCTTTGGGGAACCTTCAACTTCAACTTACGGGTGACACCCGGGGTCCACTCTCGGGCATGTACCTGCCGCACTGCTTCCGAAAGGCCTCAAAGTGGAAGGTGGGAATGGTGCAGCAGCCTCTGACGGCCTGGGGATTAAGAAATCCAACATATCACAGCTTTTCCCCATCGTATCCTAAATTGGAAACACTCACATTGAAATCCTGCCGCCTACTGCAGTCTACATCCGCTGGGGCAGGTGCGGACCCCACAATTGTGGAGTACAGTATAGCGCTCAGCGAGCAGATGATCAGAGCTCTGTCCTTATCCATTATTTCTGTCAGTCTGAGCTGCGCCTAAACATAACCGCTTAATTTATAATCCCACTACCGCAACTTCTCTGTCGTCTAATTAATGGAGCAAATCGCGTCATTTATGGCTTGTGAAAGCCGTTTAATTGAAGGTCTCGTGCCCCCAACGGGCACAGCACGTGCCCCACCTTTAAATTGGCTTCTATCATCAGTCATCATGATGAGCATTCGGTTCAAAGTTCTGCTGGGCAAAGTCTACCGGCCTGACCAGAGCCAGACACAGGCAATTACAGTGTCTGACCCAAACCGATTCCCTTTAAAGACATTTCATTTTCATGGATCGCAATCACACAAACGATTCGGAACATATATGTAGCTGGAAATAAGTACAGGTGACACTAGCTAGAAAAGCAAGCAGGCCAACCGTGTATAGTCGACTGCCCGAACTCTTCGGCTCCGGGTCGCTCTTCGGTAGAGTACCCTCTTCGAAAAGGCGGACGCAGGATCGGACTGTCTCCTTTAGGATATTGCACTCCGGGGCATCCGGCTGCCAGTATCTTCGAGGACATTCGAGCATCAGATATATCGCCGCGCACTGAGCGTGGTACATGGAAAAGGGCGAGCAGTCTTTGAAGGGGGCGTTGGATGTAAAGTTGTCCTGACCCAATGTATCCTGGATATGAGCGGAATAGAGCATAATGAAGTCTGCGTACTTGGTGCCCAGTCGGTCACAGGTTTCGTAGGCCATCTTCAGGGCCACGCCATAGCTGTGGTATCCGTTGAGGGGACTGTACAGCTTGGTAATCATCATGAACAGCTCTGGCATTTTGAGTTGGAACTTCGTCTCATCGCGTATCCCCCAGTGATTGAAGATGCAATCATAACGGCACTGAAAAGGCATCATCCTTTATTATTATTAGCCTAAATGCTTCGGTTATGGCATAACAAAATACTACTTACTGGTCCATAGTCGTTCAAGTAGGTAGTGCAGTTGGTGCCCACAAAGGCGAACATGCTCAAAATGTTCTTACCGCAGCACCAGTCCAGAGTCTTCGTGTTAAACAGCCTCGAGCAGTTTCCCATATCCAAGATCTCACCGCGTGCCACAGAAACCAACAGCATTCCCATGCAGCACAAGAGCCACAGAACAGACATTTTTTTAATTGCGGATCCTATAACGAATTTTGAAAGCGTCGAAAATATTTTCTATTACTTCGAAATGAAACTATAATCCCAGATATCTGGTTCCGGGGTTTCATTGGGTTAAAGTCTCCCGCAAAGCTAGTACCATCGCCATCTCCATGTAATCTCTCTGCCTGCCACACGCAACCTTACATTGACTGATCATCCCCTGGAATTAGAACATTCGGTAATCGAAGCTGTAGCCATGTGGAGTGTTTGGGTTACCATTTTACTATCAATGCTCTCCTGGACACTTCCTCCCCTCAAGGCAGCCAAATGCAAGGCAGCGCCCAAGTCTGTTCAGGTAAGTATTTGGGGGAAAGCCCCAGAAGCCAATAACTACATGAGTGCAAACCCTACAGAACGTACAGATCTGTTGTCCCGCTCCCATGCCCAAATGGGGCGTCTACAACAGTGAGTGCCGCGACTCCGGACAGCAGCCAAGCGTGAGTATCCGATAGACATCGCATCGCACTAGACTCATACTCATCCGCCCTTCTGCCATCCCCCAGTGCCGCCTGGCCTGCATATTCAATGCCAGCGCGGCCTTGCAAGGCTTCCGACTGAGGCTCCCCCGAGTGCGACCCATGCTGGAGCGAGCCTTCAGCCACCACCCCACCATCGATGCCTACGCCGCGAACTTTGGCAACTGCTCCTCGTTGGTGTACAGCAAGTACCAGGAGCTGACCGGAGTGAGTCGCCAGAGCGATGCCTGCGACAGACACGCCCTCTTCTACAGTCTGTGCGCCTACTTCCGGCTGATGCAACACTGTCCCCCAGGGCTGTGGCAGCGCAACAATAAGATGTGCCAGGAGGCACGCTCTTACACGAGGAACTGCTTCTGGCCGGCGTTCAAAAGATTCATGAACAACACCTGAATAAAGTCGCGGACAGTGAACTTAGTGGATAGTGCTTTTATTTCCCATCGAGCGGAGTATGGGTTGCGTGATCAGGTCGAGAATACTCTGCTTGCACTCCCTCCTGTAGCTCTCGCAGCTGCCCCTCTGTCCATCCAGCTCGGCGATATAGTAGCGCTTCGGCAGCGACTCGTAGCGAGAGCTGGTGGGACTGAACATGACGTGGACCAAGCTGCCCAGCACTCCGTTATGGTTTCCCAGTTGGTAGCTGTTCGCCTCGCAGATCAGCCGCAGAAGGCACTGATCGCCGGAACCGAATCCGTGCCTGGAATCACTTTGGATCAGTCTCGGATCTCGTTTTGAGTTTCTCTGGCAGATTACTTACTGCTCGAAGCGGTGGCTGAGTATCTCGTAGAACTTTGAGCGCGAGAGGAGAGATCTTTCGTGGCGATGTCTGGGCACTGGATCGCCATCACCGTCCAGCGGAAATCCCTCAAAGAAGTCCTTGTAGTCGCCATCATCTTCGTCCTTTGGTGGCGGGGGTTTCGGCTTGTGTTTGTGCTTACGCTTGTGCTTATGCTTTGGTGGCTTCAGGACAGCTCCTCCTCCGCCACTAGCAGGCTGGTGTAGAGGCTTCTTCTTCTTTTTCTTGTGATGCGAAGGCTTGTGCTTGTGTCCGGAATGAGAGTTATCGTGGTAGTCCTCATAGTAATCACCAAAGTCTCCTCCGGGCCCGTGGTGTCCATAGAGACCATCGTAGTCACTCAAAGAATAATTACCATTTGTCCCATTGCCATGTCTCTAAGGGGGAAACAAAATTGGAATGAAACCGCCATGTGAATCTTATGTAATCTTACCAGAACGGGCGGCTTGTCTGTCCAAGTTTTTGGCAGGTGATAGCTAACCTCAAAGTTGTACGACAGAAAGACCTTGTTGTGCAACTCCAGGGGAATAGCAATGGCCACAAAGAGCTGCCAAATCGGATAATGAGAAACGGGGAAGCTTCGAACCGGATTTACAGGCATAACTCACCGAAGACCCACCCCCAGTATTCCAAACGAAATGAGACTGAATCTCATGGAGTGAGCACAAAATCAAAAGGACTGCCCAGTCCATCGTTACCTCTACGACGCTCTGGACAGCAACAGGTGTCTCATCGAACTGAGCCGCAATACCACAACGACTGAGGAATAAACCTTTCTTCTTTCTTCACTTTAAAAGTGATAATCCAATTATGAGCTGGTAAAGAACCTTTGGCTTTTTGTTTCTGGCAGCGAAAGTTGCTAATTGAAAAGCGAGAAATACGAATCAGGTCAAACGGTTTGGATCTGCTTGTATATTTTTTTGTTCTACATGTGATGGCCATCAATGCGTTTCAGAATCTCTTCAAAGGGCTCCGATATCAGTTCCAGAACACTCTCCCCGCAGTCCAGATGGTAGTAGTGGCAGTTCTCATGCCAGCCATCGTGCTCCGCCTGGTAGTAGCGCAGTGGCAGCTGCTCTGACTCTGAAGTGCTGGGACTGCAATGTTAACAGATTCAACTAGATATCTTCACAAGTGACCTTCATCTTACCTAAATAGAACATGTAGTAGGCTGCCCAAAACGCCATTGAGTTCGTTCAGCTCCGCAGCACTCGTCTCACAGATCAAGCGTAGCAGACAGGCTTCGCCTTGAAAGCCGCTTCTAAAAGTGGATCTTGGCTCAAGCTGAAATAAATCTTCTGAAATCTTAACTTACCTTTGGAGTTTATCTATAAATATGCGATAGATGTTGGAACGTGTAATCAGAGCACGACTTTTACGCTGATTGATGGGAGCCTCAGTGGGATCGTCCTCCACTTCCTCCTGATCCTCCTCATTGGTGCAGTTCTGGCAGTCACTTTTTATTTTACGAGAAGACTCCACCTCCACTTCTTCCTCTCCTTCCACCTCTGGCTCCAGCTCTTCTGACTCAATGGGACCGTTTTGCTACAATAGAACCAAGTTCCATTATCATTCTGTTTGTCTGTTTGCCCTAAAGCCAAGAGCTGTTAATTGGGGCACAAAAAGTGTGCTAATGTGTCAGCAAATGCGGCATTTTATAGTCTCAAACAAACGCATAATGCACTCACAAATATCGTAAATTTCCCCCAGTTAGCGGGTAAATTGTAGTTGGCCTCAAAGTTGTAGGACACAAAAACGTTGCGATGAGGCAGCTCCAGGGGTACAGCCAGCGCCGCAAAGATCTAAGGGTGAAGAACATCCATTTGAGACCATTAATACCACCTATTCATGGATGTACTCACGCCATGGGTACTGGCCGTTGTGAAGGCCACATGCGTGTCGACTAAATCCAAGACAGTCACAAACAGGGTAACCATCCCCAGAAGAGCCCGGGCTCGCATTGAAAGCATTTTCATTAACGGGAAACGCACGATAGACCTCCACGGTGTTCAGTCAGCAACTGAACCGACAATTGGCGCTGCTGGGTACTGGGTACCCAGCACAGCAATTGCTTTGCACCGCGGAGAGAGTGTCCGCTAATTGGATAAGTAAGCCCCCCACCCAGAGAGAGAGAGAGAGAGACTATTCAGATGGAAGTCAAGTTTATTTTCTTCTACGCCCACTTACAATGTCGCTCAGCGTCTGCTCCACGGGCACGGAGATCAGGTCCAAGATGTTCGCCTCACAATTGGAGGTGTAGCTGGAGCATTCCTGATGATGTCGACCATCCCACTCGGCCTGGTAAAACTCATCGGGAAGATGCTCATCCTTAGAACTGCTTGGACTGCAACACGACAAGGGATAATTGAGTATGGTTTTAAGATTCATTGGGCTTTCAGCCTTACGTGAATATGATGTGGATTAGGCTGCCCAAGAAGCCGTTGACTTCGCCCAACTGCGAGGCATTCGTCTCGCATATCATACGCAGCAGACAGGCCTGGGCAGGGTAACCCGATCTGGGGAGGGATAGCGATAGCGATCACGATTAGCATTAGAAATATCACAAGATGCTACTGTTCGCACCTTTTCAGCTTGTCCCTTATCATTGAGTAGAATATGGAGCGACTCATCAACGACAAGGAACGTTTTTCACGTGACGTTGATGTTGATTCCGATTCCGTTGTTGAGTTGCTGCTGGTGTTGCTTTTGGTTTCCCCATCCTGATCCCTCCGCTCAGTGCAGTTCTGGCAATGCCTGCCGTTGTCCCCACGCCCCGAGGTGGGATATGTCAGATAGGAGTCCTGATAGTCGCCCATCTAGTAATAGAGTTGGTACATTTTAAACAAAAGACTCACGACACGAACCAGCACTGCCAATACTCACCAGAATAGGCGGATACTTGTAGACATGCTCTGGCTGGTAGTAATTGAACTCGTAATTGTACGACAAGAACACATTCCGATGCGGCAAGCCTATGGGCAGCGATATAGCCATAAATATCTGCGAAACGGTAACCGATTTATTAACACAAAAAAAAAACACATGAATTGAGGCTAAATTACCCCATACTCAGAGTTTGTGGTGAATAATAGAGCAGAGCTCACTAATTTCCAGTGCATTATGGACCACACCAGACACTGCCATTGCGGAAAGTTCAAAGATCTTGTCATAGCATCCGACATCCAATGGCATCTCATGTTCGATGCTCGACTCTTCAACTTCTAAATTCGACTGGCAGGCCGCGGTGGCCAGAAGCAGCCAAGAAAGGTGCGTGGCCAAGAAGCTGTTAATTAAAATCCAGATAGGGAATTTGGGTCACCCCGAATTGGTTTAATTCAGTTCAAACTGTAACCGAACAATCGGACATCCAGTTTACAATCTTTAATTTCTTATGATTACAATATTCAATTAGTATATCCCAACTCCCTTCGGATTATGTCTAAGTCAGGATCATCCGACGTAGGCGAGCACATACTTTTGGGTCTGCCAACGGGAAACCCTCTCGGAGCGTGATTCTAAAAATATCTTTCGCTTTAATTGGTTAGCATTCAGATGTTTTATCTGCTAATAACTGCTGGCTTGCTCACGTGTATACGATATACACTCCGCTGCCCAAAATTCCATTGAATCGGCGAAGCAGTTGGGCATTTATCTTGCACATGTTTGGGGAAACCTGCCAGAAATTAAAGCTATACCAGATAACTCTTTATAGACTGCAGAAATATTTCAATTTTTGCCCAAAATAAAGAAAAGTGCCAATGAATTTGAATTCGTACATTAAAACGTCTAGTTCAATGTCCCTGCAGAGATTGCGGTGCGTAGGGATAGAAATCGAACAAAATACAAATTTGTATGGGGTAATAGCGTTCCCAATTGAGCAGAGCCAGCAACCAAGCTAAATTCTCCAAAATATGGTGGAGAAACGGGGAGCAGACACAACACATAACTCCTGTATAGTTGCAAATAATTATTTATTCCAATGCGTTCCGCTCACATATGACTATACTCCTATTCTATAATAATTGTTTGTGAGGTGAGTGGCAGAATCTCGAGTTCACCCACGGCGGGTTCCTGCTATCTGTTGTTTCGGAGCTTGCGCTCCTTCCACGTGACGAACTTGGAGTTGGCAGTGCGCAACAGCTGGTTCATGTGCTGAGTGAGTGAGGAACGCAGCGGCGAGAGCTCATGCATAGCACGATTCTGTGGAAAAGGCAAGGGAGCACGTCACAGATGGTTCGATTGACCCTGAGCAATGAAAAGCCTACCTCAAACGGAACCAGTTTGGCCATTTTGAAACGTTGTAGGGTGTCATGCATGCGCTGGAGCTTCGCCTCCAGCTCTTCGGTGGTGGGTGGAAAACAGTTCCAGAAATGTTTCAACAGCTCCGACAGTGAAAGATACAAGTGGCGCAATTCGCGCTGAAAGTCACTAGGAACCAGCTCTGTGCAAAAGATACAATCAATAATTACATGAACCCAAAATCATATCAATCGAAAATTCACTGGAACTTACGTCCTGCCGACTGCTCTTGAAAGCCGCGCATTAAGGTACCGCCTGGACTTAGCTCTCCGAGAGCATTTACGGCGGCCTTGGGGCAGATGACACCGCGCTGCACACTGCGATTCAGCCAGGACTCCGAATTGCGCACTAGTTTGTACTGCACATCCTCCAGGCTAAACTTTTCGCTATGGTTTTCATACATGCCATGCTGAACGGGTCCGTTGAGGTAGCGCTCCACCTTGGAGAGCTCAAACTGCTTAGGCTGGCCCCCGTCTCCATTGGATGAGTCCTCGTTGACTTCCGTTAGAGGATCGCCCAGGTCTTCGTAGTGAATCTTTTCAATCAATCGCTGTTTCTTCGTATTTGGCTCATCGGGTTCCACTGTATCGGTGGGTTGTGACTTTGTGGCTGTGGCTGTCGCTGTGGCCTTTCCATTGAGGCCGTTCGTGTAGGCAGATTGCGATACTGGTCCGGTGGCATTGTTGGTGCCGTTGGTCATGGAAGAGGGTCCTGAATTTACATTGGCACAAGTCTTGAGTACCATGATGGAATGCTGGTTGAACCTTTTGATCATGTTCTGGTGAACAATGTTGCCGCTATTGACGACATTGCGATCGCCGGGCACGCTGCCAAAGCCCTCCTCCAGGGGAACATCTTCAAATTTCTTCAGATCCAGAAAGGGATCCCCAGCTCCCTTCTGCACCGCCGCCTTGAGAGCCTGATCATCGATCTTGCCGCATTCGGTGAATATGTCTTTTGTGCCAGCTGTAAGGCGATCGCGATGAAAGTAATGAGATTGGAAGAACTTAGTCCAGAACTCCGACTCGGGCAGCTTGTTGGGCACGTTCTCCGTGTGCTTGCGCTTGACGGCGGGATATGTCTTAAAAATGCAGTGTATAACATCGGCAGTAAGGTTGTACTTCAGGCCGTTGCATCCATCCGTTTGTGGCTTGATGTCAGCCAGAAAAGCGCCAGAAACACCTACAGGAGGAACCCAACAATCGTGAGGAATGACAATATTTAAGAATAAGGGCGTGCCTGGTCACTCACCGATTTCCTGAGATTTGCCCATCTTTTTGAGTGCATGGTCTTTGGCATGCGTGGACCAAAACTCATCGCTGGTAAGGACTTTTGTAATGACCAAATCTTTGTATAGCTGAAGCAAATTGGGATTCTCCATGAGGACGCGGTTCTTGTCCTCTAGATCTTTGTCTACCTTGCGCTTGAAGTTGGGCAACAGTTGCTGGAGCAGCTCCTTGACCTTATCGCGATCGGCCAACATTGCCGGCATGCCCTGGCGATTGACAAAATGAAAAGTCGATGTGTTGCCATCGTGGAGCACCACCTGTAGCTGCACCTTGGGCTTGCCTTCGGGCGAAATTTTCTGTGCTGCACGGGTGAGAGGGAGAACGGCAGAGTTTAGTTTCTCTGGCATCAAACGCGATCTGGTCGAGCATACTTTTAATATCAGCATAGCGGTGGGACACGGTCACCGTGTCTCGGTGCTCGGCCATCCACGCCAGACGTTCGTTCATCACGTACAGGGTCCCATCACCCTTCTTATACCGCACCTCGCCCATCTGCAGCAACACATCCTCGCTGCTCGTTGTCATTATGTCTGCTCAGTGCGCAGCGATTTCACATAAGAAAACACTTAAGCCGACGACAAGACAAGACCGCAACCTGAAATTGCAGGAACGCGTATTTTATCATCACTGAATGTGTTAAAAAGCATTTTCACAGGTGCCTCAGCCTGGGAGCTGCTCCCAGCGGCAATTTCGCCGTCTAATCAGCCGCAAAAACAAAAATAATTGCAAAGTTCCAATGGAAAATTGCGTTTTAAATACTTGACTTTTCCTGCTACGGCGATTTCTTTGATTGTTTTTGCCTCAACTTTGGTTATGATGAAAAAACGGACTTAGCCCACTTAAGCCCCCCACATTTAAACAGCTCAGAGACTTGAGGTAAATGGCGGAAAATATTAACGATTGTAATATCTTCTTGTAGATTCAAGCCATCTTTCCTCTGAACTTTCTCTGAATTTAAAAATTATTCAACCTTAATTTTTTTCGATGGAAAATTAAAAAACACCTTGGTTCACAATGGGTTAATCGTTCATGATTATAAAATAAAGTTCAAACAAGAAATGTAAAAGCAAAAAACGTAATTTATGTCAAATGAAACGTAAGTGTGTTTGCAACGTTACGTCATTATTGCTGGCCAAACGGTATCTCCTGTATGGGCATTGGTATACCCTATTATTATACCCGATACTCAAAATGTGTGTAACGTCCAGAAGGAAGCGTTTCCGACCACATAAAGTATATATATTCTTGATCAGCATCGATAGCCGAGTCGATTGAGCCATGTCTGTATGTCCGTCCGTCTGTCCGTCGGTCTTTCCCTATCAGAGCTAGAGCACCGACATTTTATAAACGGACTTCTGTGATATGTCACTGTTACAAGTGTATTTCAAAACTTCGCCCCGCCCACTTCCGCCCCCACAAAGGACGAAAATCTGTGGCATACACAATTTTAAAGATACGAGAAAGATACGCAGAATCGTATAAAATGACCATATCATTTCTAACTCTCTAACACACGTATCATAACCGGCTTTGCTTAGCGCAAAACATTAGCGCCTTGATTTTCAAACCTATAAGAGCTAGAGCAACCAAATTTATCCACTTTCCTATGATATCGAACCTGCACAAGTTGGCATCCACAAATCTAAAAGACTGACTGTAAAGCTCTCACTGATACAAAACTATTTGTAATTTTTCACTGCAGAACTATTTATGTTTTCTCACTGTAGAGAGCTCACTGCTACAAGTGTGTTTCAAAATTTCGCCCCACCCCCTTCCACACACACAAAAGACGAAAATCTGTGGCAACCACAATTTTGAAGATAAGAGAAATATAAAAACGCACAATCATAGAGAATGGCCATATCTACCAGATTGCCGAATCTTGCCGAATCCGTATTAGATCGGATTATTATTATATCCAAAAATAACAGATCAGTGCGTTATGGAATACAGGAAAATTGACGAAAGAGAATTGATGGAATGCTTTCATTGGTTTATTATGTTCAATAATTTCTTCATAGATTTGGTAGTTCTTCCTGAGACTATATTTAGCATCGTTAATTAGGCCCGAGTGGTCCGCGAACATCACATATCTTATCTCCAAACTATTATTTTAAAGGAAATTTGTACCTTTTTATCATCAAAACGCAATCGAAAAATCCTATTTTAACGGCTTTAAGCGAAGAGAAATAAAGCATTTCTGTAGTACTTTTCGTATGAATTTGATTGTAAGTGGACAAATTTGAAACTGGTAAACAGTTCGTTGTAACAAATTCTATATAATTATAGAACTTATAGTATATTTCATCTGTAAAAGTTACGTAGTACATCCGAGACGAACTGTTGTCCAATCTCTGCCGCTTTATCCATAGGCAATGCTGCAAATAAAACACTGAAAGAGCGCCGTACCCCGTTCATCCAATCCCATTGAATAAATACACAATTTTATCATATGTGGTTTTGTAGTTTTGAGTTTAGTGTTTTCTGGTTTCAGTCTTGTGTTTTACAATTTATATTTTCTTGCTTTCGAATCAGACACTTGTGGTCGTCAACAGGCCCCCAGCTTTTGTTAAAAGTTTAATGCTATTGAAATTAACCCGTCCCTTGAGGAATGCGAGCTAGTCTCGTGGAGCGCTCAAGGCAATGCCCCAATAATTGGCGTGCCCACAAGTTTGGCCACCATATTGTCACTTCGCGCCTGTGGATTCTGCACAAGTGTCTGGTTTTCAAGGATTGTGGAACTGGGAGAGTCGGTGCCGGCCGGAGATACGCGGTAACGACGAGACCCAGTTCGCGTGTGTGTGTGAATGGGAATGACGTGCCTAAATGCTTGCCGCGGGATCACAGGGGTTAGAGCCCAGAACCCGTAATCCCGAATTTGGCAATTTGGCGTGCCAACCGCACGAATGGCGAATCGGGAGCCATCGTAGTGCGATGTACAAAGTTGATCATATTCTGACAATGTCAAAAAATTGATTTGGTTTCAAATTTCCGGAGAAATTTGTGGTTTTGCCCAGATCGTGCCCGCTGTAAGCTCCTGTCGCACCAGAAGCATCGCCTTTGGCAACAACCACATACCAGACGCAGCCGAGGCCACGTTCAGCACGGAGTTGCTGCCCTGGGCTAGCGACAGCCACGTGCAAAAGGATCTAAGCGAGCATTCACAGGGCGGGGGGTTTTTTGCCACCTTCACCAAGGACCAAGCACAGACCCAAAGCAACGCAAACAACGGCTAAAACGGTGACCACTGCAGTGTGGTGAATACATTGGTCACCATTTGCGCCACGTATACGTTACATCTTCGCTGACAGGCACAAGGTCAAGGCGGCGGTTGTTGAGCTCTACCAGAGGGGGACAAGATCGGATCGCGCAACATCTATTCGGGGCTTCGGTCGCGTTGCAATTGCAGAGCTAAAGCCAGGTGTAGATGCTCAGGGCTTTCGCCTTGGACATCCAACTAGCGTTTGGCCATGAATTACATCTGCGATTCAAAGCTTCCAAACTCCAGACGAAATGTGGGATCCTCTCCCATCCTTCCCTGGCAGTGCTCGATAGTTCTTCTAGTTTGTGGTTTAAAAAACGAGTGTTCGAAATAAATTTCGAGAGTTCAAGAGTTGGCGTTCGGCGCCAAAATAGCCGCAGGGCAGCGTGAAAGTGAAAGTTCTAGGTCAGCGCCATCCATGATTGGGAAAAGCCCTAGAAGGAATTGCAGTGGCCACCAGTTGTCGGCCGCAATCGCTAAAAGAGCCAACCCCTCACAAAAATAGCGGAATGGTTTAGAGAGAGGGAGAGAAGCTTTCCTCTGCTTACCGGCACGCCGTTTGATTGAGAGTGTGTGTGTGTGCTTTAGTATGTGTGATAGTTAAAGAGTTGAATTGGTAAAGAGCTTTCTCTACTTTTGAAACTTCTTCTTTTCCTTCGCTATCACTGATGTTGGGCCATGATGGCACTCTCAGAGCGCAGGGCGGCCAGCGAGGCGGTGAAAAGTTCTCTGGTGTGCGGGGGTGGGGGCGGAATGCTGCTGCCGGTGATGATGTTCATGCCGTCGTCGCCCCCACAAAAATGCATGTGTTGCTTGGCTTATTCCTCGTCGTGTTCCTCTTCGCGAGTCTTCTTGCGCTTGCGACAAGCCTCGAACGTGTGTCCCCTGAAGTTGCAGTAGGTGCAGCGGGTGGTGCGGCGGGAGCCGCGTGTGTTCTTGGTCGCCGCCAGATCTTCGTCCTCCTGGGTGTTGTGTTCGATGATGCGGCCCTGCTCCAGCAGTTCCTTGAACGTCTTCACGCTCTGGCGGGTGATGTGTTTGCGGTACTTGATGTTCAGCAGGCCATATAGGAAGTCTATCTCGGTCTCCTCGTCGTGGCGATCGGCTGGCAGCTGGGCAAGCAGGGCGCGCTTGTGGACCAGGAAGGAATCGATGGGATCAAAATCCGCCTGCTTCAGCTGGAAGATGTCCATGTACACCTGGTAGGCGGGCTTGGTGGGCGAGAAGTGCTCGCGGATCAGCCCGATGACGTCGTTCCAGGTGACAACCTCCTTTCGCACGCCCTGCCACCAGGTGGACGCCATTCCGTAGAACAACAGGGACACCCCCTTCACAGCGTTCTCGTCGCTGATGCACTCCAGCTCTTTGTAGGTGACAATGTTGGAAATGAACATCTCGACCTCATCGTAATCGCGTGTTCCGCCAAAGCGATGGTTGCAGGCAGCGAAGCTGCCGTTGGCCTTGGGTACAGCTCCCTCCGCTCCGGCGGCAACGCCACCCACGCTGGAAGCGCGCACGGCTGCGATGAGCTCTTGTAGCTGTTCCTGGGTCATCTGTATAGTTTGCGCCATTTCGATCTGTGTGTTCTATTGCTTGTTACTTTGGTGAGGAATTAGGCCAAAACACGTTGGTTATTAATTTATTTTGTTGTTGAGTTGCGAGGAACGGCGCACAAAGCCAGTGGGGCTGAAGCGAATGTTGCCGTGATGACTAAATTTGTCGGTTTCTTTGGGATCCATTTTATAGCGGACTGTTGTGAAATAGAAGTTCGAAAAGCTCAGCCGGCAGAGAGAGCATGCCAAAGAGAGCACGTCCATTGTTGTTGCATTGTGACCGATGATATGAGTCATATATTGAATTATAATAGAGGTTTATTTTTAAAGCCGGTTGCCTAGTTTAAAACAAAACCGATAAAATAGTAATCATTAAATACACATGTATGCAGGCATATACAATATTTATTGCATGTACATACATATGTGTATTACATTTGTACAGCTTGAAGTGCAATTGCACGTATATGTGAAATTCAACCCATGTATAATATATTTTCTTGGGCAGCATATAAACATGTACTAAAGAAAAACAAAACATACCAATATGTATGGCAACAAATTTAAACAGGGCCGGGCCCTACCAGTGAGTCAGAAGAGTTAATATTGAAAAGTTTAGTGAGTTCATGTATGATACAAATGTAAACTTTTATCAGTTAATTTCCTTTGTTGATAATTATGCTAGCAGACTTTTCAATTAGTTAGAGTAGTATTAACAACACCTGTCGCTATGTATTCCATATAGTATATCCTGATAAAAGGTGTGATAGGAGAAGTGATGGGGGTTAACGTAGAAAATACAAACAACCTGCATGTGGAGCAAACAAGAGGGGGAGAGGAACATCAAGAAAGCTCGCTCGAAAAAACGTCAAAACTATTGAAGGTATGGAAAAAGCAATAAAATAAACTCAGGCTGGCATCAACTTAGGCCACCAAAGAGTGAGATAGAATTGCAGCACCCTATACATAGCAATACCATGCTATGTTTGAATTTCGAAAAAGCTCCCCCATGAGAGCCAATATAATTTCACAAGAGAAAAGACTAAGTTGGCAAAAACAAAACCACAGCCAGTCGCTCCACCGTCAATTCTCGACGGATTTTATTCGCTCCCATTTCCGCCGTCTGTTTATTTATTGTTAGTTTTCTGTCGAATCGGGGCGGAAAATATTAAATTTGGGGACAAAATGACGCAGATGTCGGATGAACAATTCCGCATACTCATCGAAACAATACGCTCCCTGGCGACCATCAAAGAAGATGAGCCGCAATCGAAGGGAAGCTTCAGCAACTGCCCCGTCCGCTTCAGTGGGCAGCGTGATCACGATGCCGTGGATGAGTTTATAACGGCGGTGGAGACGTACAAGGAGGTGGAGGGTATTAGCGATCGGGACGCCCTGAAGGGGCTGCCGTTGCTCTTCAACAACATCGCCGTTGTCTGGTGGAAGGGGGTGCGTCGAGATGCGAAAACCTGGCAGGATGCCATGCAGCTTCTGCGAGACCACTTTTCGCCCACCAAGCCCTCCTATCAAATCTACATGGAGATCTTTGAGACGAAGCAAGGGGGAGGTGAAGCCATCGATTCGTTTATTTGCAAGCAACGCGCGCTTTTGGCCAAGTTACCCGACGGCCGGCACGACGAGGAAACAGAGCTGGACTTCATCTATGGCTTAATGCAGCCCAAGTACAAGGATAGTATTCCCAGGCATGAAATTAAGACTTTTCGGGATTTGTTGGACCGGGGACGCACTGTGGAGCGCACTAGACACTAAAGAATCTTGTAGATAGTTGTAAATAGTAAAACTAAAGTAAGACAAAAAATTAAAGTGCTAAATGTTTGGTTATTCGACTTCTTTTTTAAATTTTGATTCAGGAGAAACCCTTTCGCCATCCAAAGCTTCTCCAATTAAATCCTCAGCCCGAGGATCAGCCCGATTAAGCGTAAGCAAACCAGTTGGTAATCGCCATGAGGAAAGGGTAGAAATTCTTTAAATTGATGATTGATCAATTTGATCGAAACCTTATCTACGACAAGATCGTTCCTGCAAAAGAAGGAACAAAAGTGGGCATCCTCAAGTCTGACATCGCTTGAACAGGTCAATGTTGAACTTAAATGATAGAATTTTTTATATGCTTATATTCTTTATATACACTGTTGCTGTTGCTCCAGTTTAGAAATGATCTGAATATCTAATTTTTTTTAATTTTTAACGTATTTTCGGTATATTTCTGAGGGTCCGAGCTAAATAGTCCCGCGATTACACTGATTTTGGACACCTTGTCTAGCTTAAAAATAGTATTTTCTAGTATTTTCCAACATTTCTTAAAACACGTTTTGGGCTTCACCATCGCTTAAACCATATTTAACAAACAATTCAATAAAGATGAGAGCTTCAAGTTGACCAGTCTTGTAGGAAATTGAATTAGCAATCGGATAAATTTATTAGTTCAGAGCTGAAGGTCCTAACTATCAAGTAATATTAAACCGAATATTAAAAACGGAGAATATGATAGGACTTGAATACAAATAATTAGTAAGTATATTTACCGTATATTTTGAAATTTGCTACGTATATCTTAGTATATTTCTGAGGGTAGACCGTAAATATCGACAAATCTGCGGCCACACTGCAATCATAATAATAATTTCATATATCAATACCTGAATTTGATAAACAACTAACTGAATGCACAAAACACACCGTCTGACGGAGAGCCAGTACATGGAGGTTGAGGGCTTGCTGCAGGTAAATAGTTTTTACCACTTGCAACCGCTATAGCGGCTACGTTTTCTGTGTGTTATGGTTGCTACAACGCCCTTACTTTTTCCCCGTCGCCGTCGTCTCCACCCACTCGCAAAAACACACACATACAAACACAAATTTCTGCCTGCCCACGGAAAGCAGGCTATGGACATGCCCAGTAGTCGGGAGCACGACCAGGAAATCGGAGAAATCGAGCCGGAGCCATCATGCCGACTGAGCCGGTATAATGTAACGAACCTGTACGATGGGCCCGTTTCGGGACCGGGACCTGGGTTTGGACTAGCAGCGGGACCGGGACGTCAGCGTTGCTACACAATGCCCCACGTTCCCCCGCCTGCGCCGCCCTCCACACCTACGCTGCTGACAAGCGCCAACAGCAACAATAGCAATAGCAATGGAAATTGCAGCTCCAGCTCGCCCACCTGCTCGGCCGGTCTCACGGCCGACAATCAACTCAATCATTTTATCTATGTAAAAAATGGTAAGAACCTGCGTCGAGAGTCGCGCTGCGTCGACTCTGAACTGTCCAAGCTCTTCAACGTTGTGTCCATTACGAATCGCCTCACGGCCATCAAGAATCGTTCAAAGCAACTGCAGCTGGCGGATCGCGGCATCATTAATGCATCGCGAACCATATCTAAGCTGCATGGAGCGACGGCGACAGCGACGAAAATCTTCAAGATTCACCGCGATCCCAAGGATTTCCTGCGCGAAACGGACGAGGATTCAGTGTCGGCGCCGGAGTACGATGAGGAGGAGGAGGACACGCGGTTCCGTTTCTTCAGACGAACACGGCACTCCCGCCGACACTCGTACACCCGCATGGAGCGCAAATTCGCCAGGTTCGAGCATCACGAGCGCATGGAGACCATTGTCGACAGCTTTGACGCGGCCATGAGCTTCAACGATGCTGACACCTGAGAGGCAACGAAAGCATCAGCGGCGAGCTCCATCAGAGGCACGCGCTTGGCAGAGATGGTTGGCCAACCAATGTGATGAATGTGAATTTCAACTAAATTATTTTTATTACTACATACTACTATTATTACGATTATTATTACCGAACTGTTCTCTCCATACACTTAGTTCCCTTCTACGCCGATTGCCGTCGCGTCCTTGCGGCTCTGAGTCCCATTCCGACTCAGACGGAGGACGCGGCGCAGGGCAGAGCATTTAGTTTAGTTTAGTTTTTACGCCTCTGGGGCGGAGCAGGAGTAGCCGGACGGCTGCACTCGTATTGTGCTTCAAAAACAAAAACAGAACGATTCCAATAAAAGCACAAAATGTGTTGCATGTATTTGAGAAGAGAAGAATTAACTGCTGTTTGGATGTTTCTTCCGGGAGTCCCCGAATTTTGCGGTACTTTTTCTTAGGTAAAATAGACGTCCATGTGTCTACTTCTATGTACATACGTTCATCTACAAAGTTCTCGGAGAACCGATCTGCGCTTTGAAAGCGTAAACAATAACATAACTAACAATAAAATTCAGGGGGCTTAATTCGAGTAATATCCAATATTCAGACGCGCTCGGTAAAGAAGTTGGCCATCAGGTTCTCCTCCAGCTGCGTGGGATCTGTGACGGGCATGCGGCACACGCGGTCGTGGCAAATGTAAACTGTGGTCTTGCCATTGACCATCTTGAATTTCTTCTGCACCCGCTGATTACATGCATCATCGGGATGGAGGGGGTCCACGTGCAAGATGATCATGCCTGGTATGAAAAACTTTCGACAGATTTCCACAAAACGCTTGGTATCTTCCGAGTCGGGCCCCACCACGGCCACCAGATCCAGTCCGTTCTCGTGCAGGAGCAGAGCCGACAGCATTTCGGGCAGAGCATGACCAAAGGGCGCAACGTCGGCAAAGAAATTCATCAACTTGGCGGCTCGCTGAAGGTAGGTCTCCTCATCGTAGTAGTGCGAGAGAAGTGTCAAATTGCGGGCGGAGACACTGTTGCCGCAGGGCTCAGCCCCGTCATCACCCTCCTTTAGCCGAACAATCACATTAGGGGCATTCTGTTGGGAGAAGAAGTAGGCACCATTCTGCTCGTCCCAGAAGAGTTTATCCTGGGTCTCCTGCAGCTCTTTGGCCCAGCGCAAGGCACTGAGGTCCAGTGAGGCCTTGTAATAGTCGAGGAGACCCTTGATGAGAAAGGCATAGTCATCCAAGAAGCCATCGATTTGTGATCTGAAAAGTTGGGAATATTTATCTATGGCATTTCTATGCATCGTCTGGTGGAGAACCTACTCATTCTTCTCTAGGGTTGGATCCCCCACAGCTACTCCATAGCACGATCGGACAAGCAGCTTTTGTTCCGGATCATACATCTCCTTACGCAGAAAGTCTACGAGTTCTTTGGCCGCTTTGATGTACTCCTCTCTTTTGACTGTGCCACAGTTAGCCAATTTGGAGAGACCAGACAACATAAGGCCATTCCATGCGCAGATAATCTTTGTATCCAGATGTGGTCGCGGACGCTGATCCCGCAGAACATGCAGTATGTCGTTTGCCGTCTCCAGTAATTTGTCAAGTTTCTCCGGCTGCAGGTCAAAGTTCGAGCAGGTTTCCTCATCCGATCCGCGCACAATGAGTATATTCTTCCCGGTAAGATGGCCATGTGGATCACTGTGGGTCGGGACGTTGCCCTTCGGTTTGAGACCGTAATGGAAGGCATAGATCTCAAAGGCGCGCTTCGGCAAGACATCATCGAAACGCTTGGCCTGGTCCTTGAAGGCCGCTTCAATTTCGTTCCAGGTCCAGGCATAAAAAGCTCCCTCAACCTTGACGGTGTCCTTGTGGTCCGGTAATGAGTCGGCATCCTCGCCGGCATAGAATCCACCCAGGGGATGACGTAGGTCCTTCATTATATACTTGTAGATCTTGTCTGCATAGGTCAGAAAGGTTGCGCTCCTTGTCAGCTTGTAGGCATTGGAATAGGCCGCCATTAGTTGTCCCTGGTCATACAACATCTTCTCGAAGTGCACGTTGTGCCAATCGGCAGTTGTGGCATAGCGCGCAAAGCCCCCAAATATGTGATCATTGATCCCGCCGCGACCAATGTGATCTAGTGTCTGCAGAACCAAGTCCAACACGGATACATCCTTGCTCACCAGATAGGCATGGAAGAGGAAATTAAGGCGAGGCACCTCGGGAAACTTTGGCTCCGTGCCGAACCCGCCGTTCGTTCGGTCGAACCGCCGCTTGTGGACACCGATAGCTTCAGCTAGCTTGGCGCTGGCGCTGCCAGGCTCGAAAGCAGCCTCTGCAACAGCGGATGCGTCTTCGTTTTTCTTTAAAGCATTGAGAATGCTGGAGCCTGACTCAATGAGTGTTTGACGATTCGTCTGCCATTGCTGGGCTATGGCCAGAAGGACAGTTTTGAATGAAGGCATTCCATAGCGGCCTGTTGGGGGGAAATAGGTCCCAGCGGTAATGGGAGCCAAGTCGGGTGTCAGCCAGATGCTCATGGGCCAGCCACCGCCGCCCTTGGTCATTTGGAGGAATGTCATATAGATCTTGTCAATATCGGGACGCTCCTCTCGATCCACTTTGATGTTCACAAAATGTTCATTCATAACAGCAGCTGTCTCGAGATTCTCAAACGATTCGTGCTCCATGACATGGCACCAGTGACAGGTTGAGTAGCCCACGGACAGAAAGATCAACTTATTTTCCGTGCGGGCACGTTCAAAGGCCTCCTCGCCCCAGGGATACCTACGATGGATTGACTTGTTTATTCCACAGCTCAATATATTATTTGTTTAGTTTACTCACCAGTCCACTGGATTATAAGCATGTTGTAAAAGGTATGGAGATTTGGAAGAAACTAATCGATTGCCTGGAGCCTTTGGAGCCTGCGCGTCAGTTTCTCCTCCACTGGCCATTCCACGGTAATTTTGGCTTACTCCCCAACTATTTGACAATAAATTGAGATTTGAACTTGATTTACAAACTACAGTTTTGTGTGTTCCCCTTACTCGATAGGACTACGCCAAGTGCGATGGAACAGGCTCGGTGGCGTCTGGGGTGCTACGCCTGCTGCGAGTGACGAAAATACGTGAAGGTTCCTTGCCGCTTTCAAATTACTTCGTATCCAGAGATAGAGTGTTTTGCTTCTGAACATATCAAATTGATGTTGGTGGGTATATCAAAGCGCCTTCTTTTCACTGGGCCGATAAAAGTGCAACGTGTGCAAACGCGTCGAAGCTGGGACTAACTATGGCAATGTTTTTATTTTATTTTGCATATCAGCTGTGTGACTAGGGCTGGCGGCAGCGATGTAATCACATTTGCATAGGGCTGGCGACACATCGTTATTAGTGCAAAGCTACAGTTCAAGTTAAAGCATTGAAACCAGATATAAGGCAAGAAATCTATTTAGGCTGCGTAGTCGAACTGGTAGCAGCGGAGCAACAGCGCCGCAAAATTATACTTTGAACGTATTGCGTATTTGCGCGCTGCTCTGAATCAGCTGTGCGTGTTGAAAAACTTAATTTTCGCACAAATGGTGGAAACATAATTTATCTTTGCCTTTAATTCTGGTGTTATATGACCATTTGGTGAATATATATATATATATGTATATTCTAATCAATTTAGTCTAACTACAGCCAGAATTCATACACCTTTGCCTTGATTTTTGGGATCTTCCAATCCCACGCTAGTCTAGTTATAGTACCCTTATCTATGGCAGTCGTAACCAATACGTACCCAATAATTAACTGATCTGAACAAATCTATTGTGCAAAGAAAGTCGAAAATATACTCCAAATTGAAACCAACGGAAATGTAAACAAGTTTGGCATCCCTGGTTGCACAAAAAATCGCACCAAGAAATCGAGCAGCATTGTCTCTCAACATGCCGCAGATTGAGCAGCATTCTGAATACCCTGGAGAAGTGGATGTTATAGGTTTGAGGAAATGTTTGTCATCTCTGCCTCTATTTTTAAGCTATTTCAACGATATCTTTCTACTAATTGTCTTCTTATAGAGGCCAAGAATAGGTATTGAGATATTTATACAAGACACTCAACATATGACAAATGCCCATACTCCGGTTGACAAGCTACAAGTAAGAAATTACATTACTTTCCATACTCCATACTTACGTTGCTTGTTTTCTGTTGATATTTTTTGTTTAAACCTTGGTTTAAGATATAATAAAATAAAGAGGAGAATTTAAAAGTAGCTAATCTTGTAGAAAATTTATTCATCAGTGGCTTAAAATTATATAGGCAGAGCTAAGGGTCTTAGTTAGCCAGCATTATTCAACGACATATCAAATAATAATAATAGCAATAAACTATTTTTCTCTTACGTTTTATGTGTTTGACCTTTTTCGCTAAAACCTTTTTTCAGGCGAAATCCAAGCAAAAGCAAGTATTAAAAATAAGCCAGTTAAGTAGAAAATTTATTCACTAATCGGATAAAATTATGTGGGCATGGCTAATTGTTCTATCTAGCTAGTAATATTCGCCGAAAAAACAAAAACGTGGAATTCGTAAGATGGAACTTTAAATCGTCAGTATATTTACGGTATATTTTGAAAATGAGTCGTATATTTCGGTATTTTTCTGAGGGTCGGGCGGTATATTGTATCGATCAGCGGTCACACTGGCCTGCCGACAACAACATAACTTTTTCTATTTAAAACGGTCCAAAATCAAATAAAATAAAGTATAATGTGCTGAAAAAGAGAAACAAGATCTACTTGTCATAAATGTTAATGAAATCATCAGTCATTCAACACAACACTCACCACGTTTGTTATCTAGAATAGTTCATATTAAATAAATCAAAATCGTCAACTCGGCTGTGGCAAACGGTTAGAGTTGTATAACACGGTCGGGCCCGAAGACAGAGCAGCAGCAGCAGCAGAAACGTGAAAAGAACTTTGTGTGTTTTTGAATAGAAGCAGGCTAATACCATGGCGCTTGAGATGGATAGCAAAAATTCAAATTCAGCGGTGACGGGAGATGCAGCGGCTGCAACAACAAAAACCAACAAGGCCAAGGAGAACAACAATTTGGCCGGCAGTAAAAAGAATCAGAGCCAGAACTTGGTCAATGGCAATGGCACTGCTGCCGATGGCCCCGCAACGAAGAAGAAAGGTGCGTTCAACTTCACCCTCCTCCGCCCTACCCTACCCTCCAGTGCTGTCCATGGAAACTACCTCAATATTATTGCTGCAAAATCGAATCACATAACATTTTTAACATTACGTAATGGGTTTTTTCTCCCTATCATGCCCGGCGCCCGTTCTCTCTGCCTCTGTCTCTGCCTTTAGCTCTAGCTATTCGCTACTCCCCCCATTCCATTCCCCCTCGCGATAGGCTGCAGGAACCGCGTGCGTTACAATTGCAGTGTAAATGTGTGTTGGATTCGAAGTTACAATATTTCATTTCGTTCGTTTGCCGTCTGTGTCTTCGTGCCCGCGTATGTGCATGTGTTTCTTGGCATGGCAACGGCAACGCACATGTTGTTCACCCGATCCCCACTGTTCATTAACCCCTGGCACTGGGACTGCGACTGGGAGGAGGAGGATTTCTTGTTGAGTTTAACCTACAATTAACACGTGCTAGCTGCCCCAACTGCATGCAACAAAACACAAATTACTCGACAATTATGTAAATCATGTTTTCTACAAAATTTCGACGCATCGTATCGCCCTATCTCTTACCGCACTCTTGCCTGCTCCCTGCCCCTGCCCCTACCCCTGCCCTCTTCTCGCTCTTCTTTTTTTCCACCAACGCGTCGCGAGAGGTGTTTTCCTTACCCGCTCTCCGTGTTTACTTTCCACTCTTGCTTTCCCTCAGCGCAGTTCGTTCCCGTGCTGTAATCTCATAGGCCGGTGTCGAAATAAGCATTTCTCTGGTGAAAATCAAAGGAGATCGGGTTCGTTTACCGTCTGGTCTGGGACTCTTCGAAATCGAAATCAAATCCGATCCCGAACCCGGCCGGCCCCTTTGGCCTTATCAGCGGCGTGCTTTTTCTTGTTTGTTTTTCTGCCTTTTGTTTCATGCACTGCACACTCAAGCCCACTCACACACGTGCACCATCAGATACAGGCAGACACAGTGAGCGGCACCAGTAAACGAACATGCTGTTATGTAAATCTGAGAGACAAAAGAGTCCAGCCTGGGGCCCTGTCAAAAGTTCAAAATGGGTGCGGTTTTGAGCACGCCACTCCTACCCTACCGAATTGGACCCCAATTCTATATCCGCCATTTAAATGACAATACTGACCAGAACCCCATTCAATCTCCAGGCAAGAAGAACCGCAACAAAAGCCCACCCGTATCCACAGATGAAGCCGCTCTGAGCAATGGACATGTCGAGGAGAAGAAACCCGAAGGAGATGGTGACGCCGATGCCGACGCCAATGCAAATGTGGTGGCAGTCAAGGACGAAAAGGCGGAGGGCGGCGATGAGGCTGACGCTGCCGAGCTCGATACGGAGGACATTGACCTGGACGCCCTGCACGATGCGGGTATTCACGTGAACATCAGCTGTCCCGGCTCAGAGCTATTGACCGTGCAGCTGTCCAGCATGGAGTTGGTCCAGGAGATCCATCAACTGCTAATGGATCGCGAGGAGTCGTGCCACAGGACCTGTTTCTCCCTGCAGCTGGACAACGTGACGCTCGACAATTTCGCCGAGCTGAAAACGATCGAACAGCTAGAGTCAGGTTCCACCATCAAAGTGGTAGAAGAGCCGTACACCATGCGAGAGGCACGCATCCATGTGCGTCATGTGCGCGATCTGCTGAAGAATTTGGATCCCGCTGATGCATATAATGGCATTGAATGCACCTCGCTGACCTACTTGAATACGATCACGCAGGGCGATCTCTTGGACAAGAAGAAGACGCGCCCCGACTCTGTCGACTGCACACCGCCGGACTATGTGACCCCCGGAGTGTTTGAGCCGCCACTGCTGCCCCTTCATCCGAACTTCAAGAACGCAAAAGGGCCGCAGGCCCTGAAGGTGCTCACCACGTCCGCGTGGAATCCGCCGCCTGGTCCCCGCAAGTTGCACGGCGATCTCATGTATCTGTACGTCATCACCATGGAGGAGAAGCGCTATCACATCTCCGCCTGCTCCAGGGGCTTCTTCATAAATCAGTCCACGGACGACACCTTCAACCCAAAGCCAGACAATCCGAGCTATCTGAGTCACTCGCTCATCGATCTGCTCTCCCACATATCGCCCTCGTTCCGACGTGCCTTCCAGGCCATCCAGAAGCGTCGCACACTGCGACATGCCTTCGAGAGGGTGGCCACACCCTACCAGGTGTACCAGTGGGCGGCCCCCAATCTGGAGCACACCGTAGACGCCATACGTGCTGAGGATGCCTTTAGCTCAAAGTTGGGGTAAGTGGCGCCACATTTAACCAACCCAACTGACCCTTTACTCACAGTCTTGGCGGTGGTCTTTCGTTTGTTTCGTGCAGTTACGAGGAGCACATACCCGGCCAGACACGTGACTGGAACGAGGAGTTGCAGACAACGCGTGAACTTCCTCGCAAGACACTGCCAGAGCGCTTGCTTCGCGAGCGCGCCATATTCAAAGTCCACGGGGACTTTGTCACTGCCGCAACCAGGGGAGCCATGGCCGTCATTGATGGCAATGTGCTGGCCATAAATCCCGGGGAGGACTCCAAGATGCAGATGTTCATTTGGAACAATATATTCTTCTCTCTGGGCTTCGATGTGAGGGACCACTACAAGGAGTTGGGCGGTGACTACGCCGCCTATGTGGCACCGCGCTATGACCTTCATGGTGTGAGGGTATACAATGCTGTGGATGTGGAGGGACTGTACACCCTGGGCACGGTGGTGATTGACTATCGCGGCTACAGAGTGACTGCCCAGTCCATAATACCGGGCATCCTAGAGCGCGAGCAAGAGCAGAGCGTTGTCTACGGATCTATAGACTTTGGCAAGACTGTTCTGAGCCATCCCAAGTATTTGGAGTTGCTGCGGCAGGCGGGCAAGCATCTGAAAATCCTGCCCCATTCCGTTTACAACGAGCGAGATGAGCCTGTCGAGCTCTGCTCTTCGGTGGAGTGCAAGGGCATCATTGGCAACGATGGCAGACACTATATTCTCGATCTGTTGCGCACTTTCCCGCCAGATGTCAACTTCTTGAAGCTGCAGGAAGTCAAGCTCAGCACGGAGCTTGTTGAAATGGGCTTCCCCATCGAGCATCGCCATAAGTTGTGCTGCCTCAGGCAGGAGCTGCTGGAGGCCTTCGTTGAGGATCGGTACGTGAACTTCATTCGGATCGCTGCCGTGCATCTGCAGCAGCTCAATGCGAAGAAGCCCGAGGAAACACAGTCGGAGGAGAAGAAACAATTGCCTGCCATAGAAGAGGCCGAAAAAGAGAACAAAGAGAATCTAAATGTAAATGAAACTCCCAATGAGAAGGAGAAGGATACTCCTGTCGAAACAAAGAACGCCGAGGCGATGGTCAATGCCATACGGGAAGCCCAGTCGAATGTGGCCACCTCCAACGAAATTCAGGCTGCCGAGGTGGTTAAGCAGGCATGTGCCGCTGTTGGCTCGATGAAGGAAAAGGAATTCGACTTTCGCTTCAATCCTGACGTCTTCTCTCCGGGCATACGCCACGTTGATGGGGAAGAGGGCACCTCCGGGTCGGTGGCCAAGCAAAAGCTGCTCGTTCAGGATGCCGCCGAGTTCCTTGTGGTCAAACAGATACCCGCCTTTGTCAAGGAGCACTTGTCCCACTCCTCGCCCCCTATTGATGGCCAGAATCTGACAGAGTCTCTCCACAGTCACGGCATCAATGTTCGGTATCTGGGCAAGGTGATCAAAACGCTGGGCCAGATGCCTCGCATGGACTACCTGTACCGCATTGCCGTTATGGAGTTAATTGTGAGGGCAACCAAACACATTTACTACACCTACATGCAGAGCACCGACCCCATGCATCTGTCCGTCGCCATCAGTCACTTTCTGAACTGTTTGCTGACCAATGGCCCGATCAATCCTGTCGTCAGCAACGATGAGATGCACAAGAAGCGTGGTGGCAACGGTGGCAAGCACAACAAGCACAAGTCCTCCAAGGGCGGCAAGGGACAACAGCAGCCGGCGATCAACCAGAATGGTGGCAGCACAACATCCTCCTCCAGCTCCGCAAACGCCTACGACTGGACCCTGGTCACACCGCGTTCGCTGTGGCAGCAGATACGCAAGGAATCGAAGGCCTACTGGGACTGGGATCTCGACTGCGACTCCATGGACAGTGCTATGAATAAGTTTGGCATCATGAGAATTTGCCTTCTGCGAGCCTTCTGTCTGAAGGTGGGAATTCAGGTGCTCCTGCGCGAGTACAACTTTGATTCCAAGCACAAGCCCACATTCGGCGACGATGACATCGTCAATGTGTTCCCGGTGGTGAAGCACATAAGCCCAAGGGCATCCGATGCCTACAATTTCTACACCACGGGCCAGGCCAAGATACAGCAGGGTCTGTTCAAGGAGGGCTACGAGCTGATCAGCGAAGCTCTCAATCTCCTCAACAATGTCTTTGGCGCTATGCACCAGGAGAACGGCTCATGTCTGAGGATGCTGGCCCGTCTCAGCTATCTGCTGGGCGATGCCCAAGATGCCTTGGCCATACAGCAGCGTGCGGTTATCATGAGTGAGCGCGTAAATGGCATTGACAATCCATCGACCATTTTAGAATACGTAAGCAATCAAGTCCCGTCCCAGATCATATTCTTCATTCAGTTAATTGAAACAATTGTTGCAGACTCACCTATCGCTCTATTCGTTTGCCAACGGACATGTGGGTATGTCCCTGAAACTTTTGTACAGAGCCCGCTACCTGTTGGTGCTGACTTGCGGTGAAGATCATCCGGAGGTGGCTCTGATTGATGTAAGCATTGAATGAACGTGAATTGAACACGGGGTCTTAAGCTTTGGTTTTTTCTTTTGATTTCAGAGCAACATCAGTTTGATCCTGCATGCGCTGGGAGAGTATGAGCTGTCGCTTCGCTTCATCGAGCACGCCTTGAAACTGAATTTGAAATACTTTGGCAACAAGGCAATGCATGTGGCAGTCAGCTATCATTTGATGGCTCGCACACAGTCGTGCATGGGCGACTTCCGCTCAGCGTTGAACAATGAGAAGGAGACTTACTCCATTTACAAGTCACAGGTAAGGCGTACCCCGGGAGCGAGGCAGCGGAAAATGGCATTCAATTGTCTTTTTCTCCTTTCGTTTAGCTTGGTGAGAAGCATGAAAAGACACGGGACTCGGCCGAATGTCTACGCCTGTTGACCCAGCAAGCTGTGCTCCTGCAGCGCAAGATGAACGATATCTATTCCAATGGCAAGCTGACTAGCGACCTGCCGCCCATACACATTACTCCGCCCTCGATGGGCTCAGTGTTGGAGATGCTGAACACAATCAATGGGATACTGTTTGTGCAAATTAGGTAAATCTTGTACCTAAGTAAAGGATAATAAATCTAAACTTGTTCGCTAACGTTTTGCCTTTTTCGTAACACAGCCAAAGGGACATTGTTAAGGTGCGCAGCGAGATTGAGAAGCGTATGAAAGCCAATACCGACGTGAACGAGGCGATCAAATCCATGGTGGCTGCTGCCAATAACAATGGAGAATCTGAGGTTTTGGCCCCACAGGACAATAATAAGGAGCAGGCAGCAACCGCCCAGCAGCTTACAAATGGCGATAAAGTGGCCGTATCGAGTTGAACACTCCACAAGCAAACCACAACAGCTCCAACATAGTCACAAAATCGTATCGTATCGTATCGCCAAACGTATTTTGGGACTCTGCTAAATTACAACATCAAAGTTTGAACAAACTGAAACGTCAACCAGCATGTTAAACAAACAAAAATAACATAAATGTCTGCGTGTTTTAAAAAGGCTGCTCTTGTACTGCTCACACACATAGCATCGCATAGTAATACATTACATATAGAACGGATATAACCCTTAATGCGGTATATGCCAATAAAATATTTTAGGCTTAGTCAAGCAAACTATCAGTCAGTCAGTTAGTCAGTCACTACCCCCCAAGCATCATCGTTATCCAAACCAGCTGTAAGACAGAAAGTTGTCTCTTGTTTTTAAACACACATTGTTTTGTTAACCATTTGAGAAGCCATCAAATGCCTTTTATAGTTTATAATAATTGCTAATTGATTGCACACATCCTACTATATTGCATTCATTGTTTTCCGTTAGAATCAGCTTCACATCGAGTGCATGAAATGTTTTACCATAGCGTAACCATAGGGTGTTGCGCTTAATTGGCAAAAAGAGACCAGAGAATTATTGAATGAGTACGTTTTTGTTATACAACTATCATATATATATATCAGAACATTATATTACTTATAATGCATACACGTTTGCTGACGTCCTTGCTGTGTCAAGGACTTGCAGAACATTAATCATATGAACAAAATGGTTTTTTTATTATTAAAATGATCCGAAAAATGATCAATAAAACTTAAGAAGCTGCCAAGCCAAAGCCGTTTGTCGTATTTTTGGATGTCTCCCGTGAAGAACAAATTCTGTTCAATTCTGGAATGGCGGTGCATCAACAAACATACATACATACATATCTCGTAATGTACATATGTATAGTAAATGCAGAAATGTATTTAGAAAAACTTATACATAAAACTAAACCTCTACTTCCGTTTCCTGCACTTGTTGCGTCCTTTTCGACGTCTGCCAGGAGTTTTTCCTGGAGATTTGCCATTTTTCGAAGCGGCAGTCTGCGGCTGCTGCTGTTGCTGCTGACTCTTGGGCGTGACTCCAGCAGCAGCTCCAGCATTGGCACCTGCACTCGAGGCGGCACTGTTTTGTTTGCTTATTCGATTGGCAGCACTTTGGCCACTAACCTTCTTCGAGGGCAACAGATGCTGGCTGACCAGCTCGCCAAGAACGCCCTGATGGGCCAGCATGGAGAGGAAGGTGCATATAAATTTGTCGTAATTATGAGTCCGACGACTGGCATCCACTTTAAACATGTGTCGGCGATCGTTCTCGTCCGCCAAATTCTGCTCATTGATGGCAATTTCTGTGTCAAGGTTCTTGAGCAATAATTGAAGATCCTTTGCAGTGAAGGCGCTTGGTTCTAGAAGTGTGGTGGGTGTGTCCGGGCGCTGCTGATCACCGTTTCCCGATTCGCCTTGCTCGTCAGCTTTCAGTAGTTTCTGCAGTGTCCCTGAGACGATCGCCTGATTGGTGCGTAGCATTTTCAATTTATGAGTTATTGCAATCCGTCTGTCGGGCACAACGGCCATCAGATTGAAGCGTATGTCCTGTTCGCCCGTAGCGATACCCAATCTTTCCGCCATCACACGACGAAACTTATCCGTCCAGTCTTCATGGTCTTCCCATCCGCCATGGTTCATGGGATACGGCTTCAAGCCGTCTAGTTCAAACAGTTGACCACTAATAGGCACAAAGCTGACAAAGTGAAAGGCTTCGCCAGTGAAACGACAGCTGGCGACACCAGCGCCAGTTCGCTCTAGGCGACGTCGGGCCTGCGGTATGGCATGCGAATTGTGTGCGCACGCCAACTCCGGGGTGTTGCCTATAGCTAATCCCTTGTTCTCCGGGCTCATGCCTTTGGTGTGGACCTTTAGGCGACTCAGCGTGTCGCCCAGCTGCAAATTATTCTCGTTGCAGTTCAACAGGACGGAAAGCAGAGCATGGGTGGCACAACTATTGGGCACAACCTGCTGGGCAAAGAAAATGCTGGATATGGCTTCTTCGTCCTTAACAAAGATCTCAGCGGTAGTTTCCACTATTTTCCGGCGTGCACGCCGCTCTTCGATCCAGCGAAAGAGAAAAATGAAACCGTAAGGGCTTTCAATCGGCTTCTGGAGGTCATACACCTCCTCCACCTGAACATCGTGACCTGAAATCGAAAGAACATTAATATGGTGGGATGAGAGTCAGCCATTACTAATTACATCCAAAGTCCTCTAGTAGCAGGGTAAAGAGGCCAGGATCGGACTCCAGTTCCAGCCAACCGTCCGCCAGTTGGGCCATCGGCATGGTGGTAGCTCCCGTCGCCGATGCCAGCAAAGAATTGTTGAAAATGCTATTTGCTGCAGTCGTACTCGCACTGGCCGTACCAGGACCGCCTGCTGCGACGTTCATTGTAAGAAGCCGCCCCAAAATACTTTTGCTAAAATGCTATTGATGGCGTTTACGAAACCGATTAACGGTTGAAAAGGAATTCCGAACAAATTGTTGCTATTTGCGGCAGTATTTTGTATAAAAAGTTGTTGTCTTTTTGTTTGGTTTTAGAGATGTGCCAAAATCGTATCGAAGAGAAGAGTTATAGTTTTGCGATAGAAACCCAGTCGATAGTAAGATAGAGATGTGAACAAACAATCAATTGGAAGATCTGGCAGCCCTATTCATCGTTCACAGTCAGCTGTTATTCACGTAACTGGAACAGCCATACTAACTTTTCTCAAACTTTTGCTAAATATACAAAATTTTCCCATAGAGAAATGGTTCGTCCCACGGTTATTGGTTTGGCCAAGCGTGTGCCGCTCATACAGTTCCGCAAAGGAGGATTGGGTGCGGCCGTGGCCGGTGCACAGACTGCAAATAAGCAGGCAAGTTCAAAGCCAGCAGCAGGCAAAAAGGTTAACTTTTTAAGCCCATTTACTAGAAAAACAAAATGTGTTGTAGTATAAAAGCATTGGAACACACTAATTTGCTGTTTTTCCAGCTGGCTGGAGGTCCTGCCATAGAGGATTGGGAACTGCCGGCACGCTTTGCACGCAAACCCATAGACCCACTCGAAGCGGAGTACATCAACAACGGCGGCATACCAAACTAAAACTGCAACGCGGGCTCGGAGAAAATGTCTTATTTATAAAATAAACTTGTCTTGAATCACCAGATAATGTAGGAGCTGATTGAGTCAACAAAGTCACATCTTTAGAGTAAAAAAATAGTTCTCTTAAACCTACTACTAAATTCTTGAAGAAGAAAATATAGTCACAGTCATATAATAAAACAATGCCTGCTCACCCGTCTGGCCCAGAACTTTGCTGAGCCAGACGAGTGCGGTCTTCTCATTCCTCAGCTGTCAAGATCCTGGTGGAGTCGACGTATCTGCAGGACATGGAATTGAGCGATGTGATCTTCGCCAAGTCTGAAAGATGCCTTCAGCAATCTTCAACTATGCCAACAAAATGGCCAAGACTTCGGCTCTGAGGGGCTGCTTTGGCATTACAGCGGCTTCTGGTAGTAGATAATTAGACTGCGCCCATCGACAATATCCTTGTTAGACTTTATGCAGTAATTTTATATCGACAAATTCGCGGTCTTGCTCTGATTTTCTTGCCACCATGTCTAGCTCACACACCTTGCAAGTTTTATGCTTTTCATAACACGCTTTAAGACGCGTTATGGACTCACCCTCTTGTCCAATGCACCAAGGTAGAAATCGTGTAGAATTGCTATTTAAAGCCATATCCTAGGCCACAGCGAATAGAAAAGCATCGAATTACTGATCGTTTGCCTTAAAAATCTATGCCAAAAAGTAGATAACGGCGCTAAGACTGTCGCCTTCATAAACTTTACCTTTTGGCAATTACATACAAATGTAGTTAATATGAAGAAAATGTGTAGTTAGCGTATAGTTACCATGCAAAGAAATTAATTAAGTGGACATTTTTGTTAAGCCGCTTTTGTTTAGACCATATTTTACAAACAAACCAATAAAGATGAGAACTTCCAAATGACCAGTCTTGTAGGAAATTTATTTAATAATCGAATAAATTTATGAGTTTAGAGCTGAGGGTCCTAATTATCTAGTAATATTCAACCGAATATCAAAAACGGCGAATATGATGGAGTTTGAATCCAAATATAAGTCAGTATATTTACAGTATATTTCGAAATTTGTGACGCATATTTCTGAGGGTCAGACCATAGACAAGATCGACAAGTCCGCGGTCACACTGCATTAGCTTTTTCCCGTGAAGAAGACGTTGCCGCGCCAGCCAATTGTTTGTTTTGCCCCCCGCTCATTTTCCCCCGCCCCGCGTGCCGTTGACCGTCGCGAACAAAGAGTGGAAAATTTCCAATTCAGCAGAAAAATCCTTTGTTGTTTCGAAGTATCTAGTGGAAGGAAAACCGAAAGAACTTCTGCGATTGCCAAGAAAAGAACGTCTTTTCTGGCCCCAAATTCTGATTGTTTCGGATTTGATTTTTTTTGGATGGGTGTGAAGCGTAGTATGCAAGAGAACTGCTGCAACAAGGACTGCCTGGGTCTCCGAAAGCGTGTCTGTGGTCTCCATCAAACCTTCAAGTGGCTGCACCAGACCCCCGCTCTGCACGAGTACCTGATCTCCGCCAGTTCGGTTGCTGCAAACACAGGCAAGGCGAGCGAGCCCAGAGCAACAACAGTCTAAAGTCCACCTAAGACCAAAGCAATCAACCAAACGAATATAAACCGACTATATTAGCTAAAGTAGATAGTAAATTCAATCAAAATTCAACCTAACCGCACAAAGAAAAACAGAAACAACAACAGAACAACAAAAATAGAAAATACAATTAAACCGCTACGAGCTTTTGCCGACATCTTTGACCTTGTTTTGGTTACAAGTGCACTTCGCTGCTTGCAACCCGCTCGTCACCCTGCTTGGCAACCGAAGCAGTTTTCAACTTCCTCGTGAAAACAGCCCGAAAGCCAGCCACAATGAGCTTGCTCTTGCGTCGCAATTCGAGCCAGCTGCGTCTGCTGTTGGCATCTGGAACCAAAATCACGCGCCTCGCCTCGACTGATAGCAGCAATGTAGGTGAACCGTCGTCTGCCCCAGCAGTCCCCACCACAGCTGTGAAGAAGAGCAAGCAGCGCCAAGCCCCACCAGCTGTGCCCGATGCCGAGATAAAGAAATCGGTCTTCATCTCACAGTCGAATGACATTTTCACCAACCTGGCCCTGGAGGACTGGCTGTACAAGAACTTTGACTTTGGCCACCATCACGTCCTACTGCTGTGGGCCAACGATCCGTGTGTGGTCATTGGCCGTCACCAGAATCCGTTTACCGAAGCGAACGTATCCAAGCTAGTGGAGCGTGGCATCACCCTGGCCCGTCGCAACAGCGGGGGCGGTGCTGTTTACCACGATCGTGGCAATCTCAATTGCACCTTCTTCACTCCCAGAGAGCGGTATGATCGCAAGTACAATTTGAATATCGTAACAAGAGCGTTGTTCCGCGAGTGGGCCATCAAGGCGGAGATCAATGAGCGTGACGACATCGTGATAAGGAACAAGAAGGTAAGAAGGGGGAAGCTGAGCTTCTTATCAGCCACTGATCCCTAGTTGACCTTGCACTGACGTCAGCACATCACCTCTACGTACGGCTGTACCCGTATATTGATACCCGTATATATTAATACTCTTTTGCCCGCCTACAGATTTCTGGAACAGCCGCCAAGCTGGGACGCCCAAACTCCTATCACCACTGCACCATTCTGGCCAGCGCCAACAAGCTGCATCTGGGGGAATCTCTGGTCAAGGAGCCAGCCAACTACATAAGTCGTGCCACAGCCTCAGTGCCTTCTCCCATACGCAATCTGGTGGATGTGAATCCCAATGTGAATGTCTCGCAGCTGCTCTCCGCGGTCGGATACGAATATCTTAGGACGGTGGCCACAACTTTGGAGGATGGCGGAAGCGTACAGACAATGCAGCAACGCGGCTTCCAGCTGATCAATCCCACAGAGAAATGGTTCCCTGGCATCGAAGAGCTTCGGTCCAACTACAGCTCTTGGGATTGGGTCATTGGAAAGACACCGAAGTTCACCGTCGAAAAGGAACTCGAACTGAAGGGCGACGAACAGGGCATGAAGCTCAAGCTGACCGTAGAAGTGGAGGCCGTGAGTGCAATACTTTGTTAAGCTATATCCCCTCCTTTAATTGTACTCTTCCGCCCAGGGCTTGATGAAAGAAATCGGCATTAAGCTGCCGCACAGCGAGGAGACTGTCCCCGTGGTTACTCCCCTCCAGGGCAAGGCCTACAACGAGCAGAACTTGACTGGCATAATGGGCGCCCTGAAGCTCGTGACTGCATTGAATGTCCAGCAGGCAATGAACGGCTCCGGATGATTGAAGCTTTCTTAGCGAAACAAAAAACAAACAAACCATTACTTAGTCCAACTAATCCGCCTAACATAGATGTAGTATATCCACGAAACCATATTACTAACCTAGTTTACAACTAATATACAAACCCTAAAACAACTAACTTTTGTTATCCACGTTTTGTATACAAAGAACTGCAATAAATTGTTTCTATATAAATGTTTAGAAACCGCAGCAAGAACAAGCACCAGGGAGGACACTGTCAACCGATAATTTAATTGCTACAAACAGCAACACATATAAATACCTAAAAGCCCGTGTCCGTGTAATCAAAGGTGTGGACATCTTTCTCGAAGCGTATCATGCGCTCATGGTACTGGCCAAAGAAGAAGCCTTCCGTTTGATACAGCATGTACATGCGATATTCCGCCTCACTCATGAATCTTTGCTCATACGAATCTCTACAGTATTTGGGAAAATCATCCATAAATTTATATGATCCGCTAACGTCATAGTCGCAGGGCAGGTGCGCCTGATCGAACGTGAATGTATATTTCGGCAGATCTGTCCTGGCTCGCTTAATTCGCTTAATGCTGACGACGGGGGCCGGAGCAGTAGCAGAACGGGCATCGGATGAAGATGGAGGCCTTCTGCTGGTGGAGTTTGTCTTCTGGTCGAGTGCATTGTGGGTGGAGTTCCTGGAAGAGTTTTTGCCTGCGATCTCCTGGTAGTTTGGAACAATGGAGATACTCTTGGCATCGCTGCATGGCAATTGAAACTGCATTTTCAAAATGAGATGAGCTGAGATGACGATTGTTTGGCAGAATCTCTTACCAATAGGAATAGGTGTGCAATTAGCATCAACGATATTAAATGCAATATTATCTTCATATTATTCATTGAACAAACAACCATGTGGTTCGTGGAGTGTGAGTGAATAAATAGTGGCAACAATATCAGTGCCAACCAAATAATGATTTGTAAATGTTAATATAAAAATTAATTTTATAAATCTTTTAAGGCACTTTCAATTGACACATTTTTTGTACGATTATTACAGATTATACATACATGCATATACATAAATCGGGACTCGCGAAATACTCTTTGTGCAGGGGAAACGAAAAGAAGGGGATAACAATCGCAGTTTGCGAGCCCCATTAGATAAATCATAATACTCCAATAAATATGAGAGTAAAGGACCAAACACAAAAGATAAAAGCATTAAAAAATTGCACTTTAAAACAGAAGGACGAAGGTGGAGTCCACTCAGGGAGGGGAGCCGAGCTATATATGAACGGTTTGCACCAAATCGGGCAGGTTTTGGTAGTCGGGATCGCGGGTGAAGAACTCCATTAGATAGGCAAAGGTTGGTCGGTCCTTGGGATGCTCCTTCCAGCAGCTTAGCATTGCTGCATAGATATAGGCAGGGCAGAGATCGGGCTGGGGCAAACGCTCTCCACTGTCCACCAGCTTGATGGCATCCACATTGGAGATCTCGCCATAGGGAGGTGCTCCCAAAGCAAACATCTCCCAGATGGTCACGCCGAACGACCACACGTCACTGGCATGCGAGAAGACGCCCAGATTGAAGCTCTCCGGGGCGTACCAACGTATCGGCCACCGACCACCCTGTGTGAACTGGTACTCAGTGCTGCCGGGCCTCAGGGAGCGCGACATTCCAAAGTCACTGATCTTCGCCTGCTGGCGAGCGGTCAGGAGAATATTCCTGGCAGCAAGATCACGGTGTACAAAATGCTGAGATTCCAGATAATGCATGCCTGGAAAGAGAGTTAAACTGAGAACTGTCCTACGACCTTGTCGAGACTTTGCACATACCGCAAGCAATCTGAGATGCCCACAGCTTCAGCTCTGTGTTGGCCGTGATCTCTGCGCTGTGATCGAGTATGTACTGGAGCATGGAGCCCAGGGGAGCCAGCTCCTGAACCATCATCAGCGTATCCCCCTTCGATATGCCAATGAGACGCACAATACAGTTGTGCTCCAGGCGCATCATCACAGAGGCTTCGCGCAGAAACTCCTGCTTGTTGCTGTGCTCATCGCACAGCATTTTGATGGCCACCTCCTGGCGGGACGACTCCATGGAACCGCCGCCCTCACTGCTTTTCTTCACTAGCCAGCCCCGGTGCACAGAGCCGAACTCCCCGTGGCCGATTTCATTCTCCACCAGTAGATTCTCTTTGTCGATGAAAAATCTCAGCTTTGCCGCCTCCAAAGCGGCTGAAGTGGGCGTGGTTGGAGTTTCGCTGCACTTCCGTTGCAGGTAGCCAGCCATTTCGCTCTCAGTGGAGCCGGTAGAGATGAGGGAATTAAGGCGCGTCGCCGCCGGTGGCAGAGTCTTGATCGGTTGATCAAACATACAGACCACATCAACGGTATGCTGATACCCAGTGACGTTCCACTGGCCGGCACGCTCCCGCTCAATGGCCACATCGCTCTTGGTGAAATACTCAACTTCTGCTTCAGTCTTTTGGGCAATTGGAGGCAAGTCAATCTCGATTGGCGTATTGTTCCTGGGGACATTGTACAGCTCTCCGTCGGCTGCTGCTCCTGTTCCATCTGCATCCACATTGAAGTTGGAAAACTCCGTCGAGAACGATAGACTTTTGAGCATTGGAGCAGCTGCCTGGAGTTCCTGCTCCCGCTCCGTCTTGGCCAGCGATCCGCTTACACTGCTCTCGGACTCGGATCGTTTGTTCTTGGATTTGCTCTTGCGCAGGCTGTTCATGTCGAACAGAGCCTTTCTGGGGTTCGTCAGGCGCAGAGTGTTGAACACGAAGCTGCTGTTCTCCTTTTGCTTCTTCTTCGTGATGGACAAGGCGGGGACATGCTGATTGGTCGAAGGAGAAGGCGGCGTCACTGGTGGCGTCGTCCTGTGCTTCACGGCAGAACGTGGTATGGTGGCAAATGAGGGAACCTCCGGCTTCGGCTTGGGCGGCACGGCATACTTAAGGCTAACCGGCAGGCCATACGAGAAGCGCATGAAGTTGGCTATCAGATGCTCCAGGCTGGGCCAGTAGGGACCGTCATCGATGAACACGAATTTCTGCTGGAAGGCAGTGTTTGGGTTTGGAATTTTGTTAAATAAATTGCTGGATATCATCACTCACCTCATCAGACTGCACTTTGACACCGTTCGTGTAGAGATAAGCCTGCGATATGCGAAAGTTTTTCACCACCTGATCACTGAGAAGGGTCAATACCAAACCAGACGCCGCCGGGGACTCGGAATAGCGCACAAGGAAACAGCCAGAGGTGTCGACACCGGGCTGCTTGGCCAACAGTTCCTTGGCATATTGCGTAAGTGTGGCCACGGCCTCATCTCTCGTCTGCGTTCCATGATACCACTGCTCTCTGGTGGTGCTTGCCGGCGGCAGCTTGTAGTTGAGCAGAAATTGCTCGACGGTTGATTGTCCCGCTTCTTTGGCCAGATCGAAGGGAAACTCGCCAGAGCTGGTGCGCGGCAGCAGGGGAGCTTCGGCCAGCAACAGTTCCCGGACACCCTCCAGATTGCCGTGCTTGGCTGCCTCGTGCAGCGGTACGAATCCATTCTCTAAGTTTCTGCCCTGGACATTGGCCTGGGCAGAGATCAGGGTGCGTATGAAACTGGCCGGCTTGTTCCGAGCAGCATACTGTGTGGGATAGAAGCAAGTATTAGCAGGCAAATAACCTCAATATCAATACCAAGTTCAAACACTCACATGCAACGGCTGGCATCCGAAGGAGTCTGAGCTATTGACCTGTACTTTCGCGTCCAGCAACAGTTTCAGGATGTCCTCATCACAGTGCAGCGCAGCCAGATGGAGGGCCGTCTGTCCATGCTGATTCTTGGCATCGAAGTTGCGGTAGCCACACTTGAGCAGCTCAAAGACCACTTTGCTCTCGTTCTTGCTGGTGGCACGGTGCAGTAGATTGGTCATGCCATGCCTGCGTGTGTTGTGCGGCGGCGGATCACGAATCAGCGGAACCGTCAGCTTCGTGGGCAGACCATTCGCCCCCTGCTGATAGTAGTCCACCAAAGTCTCCAGCCCGTGGAGTATCTTTGTCTGCATCTCATCGTCGATGGAGAAGAAGGCATCCTCCCCATGGCGTCGCACCTGATAATGGCATACCTCCTCCTGGCAGAGTATGCTCAGCACAAAATCGCCAGCTGCTGTGCTGCTCTCCCTCACCAGAAATGTACCATCCTCGTAACCTGCCGTGGGTGGGGGACAATCAATTGAAATTACCATTCATTAGGCTTCATTCACCACGCCCACGTCCCTCTTTTCGGACTCTGAAACACACAAATTTTTCTGTCTCTACTTGCCTTGCCTCAACAGATCGTCAGCTGCCTCGCGAGATAAATTTGCGTGAAACCATTTCATGTGATCATCGCGACTCATTGTATGGCCATCTAATTGGTATCCTTTTTTAGATTAAACAGATTAGAAAATCTGTTTTAACTTCCTTTTTGTTCATGAATTGTGACGACCCTCAGAAATATACCAAAATATACCGTCTCATTTGCAAGATATTCCGTAAATATACTGACGAATTCAAGTTCAATTTTACGAACTTAGCCCACTTGAGCCCCCTCTATTGAAATAGTTCAACGGCTTCAGGTAAATGGCGGAAAATATTAACGATTGTGAATTCTTCTTGTAGACACATGCCATCTTTCATCTGAACTCAAAAAAAACCACGATATCTTTCACCTGAACTGCGCTAACATTATTAAATATTCATTATTTTCGGTGGATAATTGAAGTACCCCCTTGGCTTATAATAGGTTAATCGTTCTCCGTCAAGGATATATATTGCTCAATTTTGATCTTCCGTCGAATATTATTAGCTGGATAGATCATTTAGCCGTGCCCACATAATTATATGTTTATATATATGTTTTATATATGTTTTGATGTTTAGTCTGTTCAGTGTGGCCGTTTCTGTTTGATCGTTATCGATCAGCATTCGCGATCTATCGGTATGTTTAAAGTTGGCGCGCGTTTCAATTTGGAATTTGCGTGTGATTTGAAAAGATCCCCGACTAAATCCCCAAACCATTTAATTATTTGATAAGTAAAGTAATAAACATATTTTTTAATTGTATCGCTTTTTGTTTTATTGCGTTTCTTTCAGTGTTTTTGTTTGTTTTCATCCTTTTTTCAATGTTTTTGAAGGGGCTACTAAAACAAAGATTTCAATTATGGGCGATTGATTATGTTAGATTATTTTCATTTGTTTTCTCCGCGAATTCGTTTGTGGTTATGTGAGAATAGGCTTAAGCATTTAAAAAACGACTATACGCTATGAAATACGGCATTAAAATTAACACAGAGTTTTAAATTATGAATTATATTTATATAAACATTTAATGTCATCAGAAATGTAGTTTTAGGTTTTTCTTTTCCTCTATTCAGCGCAGAGCACTCGCACGCGTGCGTTTCGTTTTCGATTTCGTTTCTTGCTGTTTTGCTGGTTCTTTTTTAGTTTTTTTTTTCTTTTCTTTTCTCTAGTAAGTATTGTGGCAACTTAAGTGACTAAAGGTAGATAGCTACGTACATACATAAAATATATATTTAATTCCCACCCAACTTCCCCCCAATTCATATACACGCACGCACAGACACACTCCCGTCCTCGGAAGAGCGATCAAATCAGCCCTTAGAATTAGTGGCTAAATTGCTTAAGCGTACAGCATTTTCGGTTATGTTCTCTGTTTAAGTAGCTGCTCTAGTCATTTTGGAGCTTTTGTTTTATTTTCTGGCATTGTGTCTCGAAACAACGCACCACAAAACATTAAAATTTGGATTATGTGGCAAGTTTTCGAATCAAAGTGCTGCAAAAGATAACTGGCATTGACAAGGAATTTTGGTTCGACTCCTGGCCGTTGCTTCTGATTCTAAAATCGGTTTCTGCTTATGTTTTCTCGGTCCTTTCTCCTCTGTTGCTTATGGTGTGCTTCGGCTATTGCTGATTATACGCCGCTGTTTCTGCTACTGCTGTTCTTTCCACTAAAAAATAACTAGATTCTAATGTAGAACAAAATTAATGAACGTATCATGAACGTATCGAAGCATTCAAGAAATCATAGGTTCCTCTTGTGTTTGTTAATGTTTTCTCCTTTTTCTTTACATTTATGACTTTTTTGTTGTTGTTGATTGTTGCTGTGGCGCCGCCGCCGTTGCCGATGCCGCTGCCGCTGCTTGTATATATGTTATATATTTGTTTCTTGCATTAATTAGATATTGAAGAGAGCTTTTGGGAAACTCCGTTCACAGTCTTTGATTTAAGGACATCGTTTTCATATGAAAAGACAGTTTCCTTGCCATTCTCAACGACCCTGCAATGAATGAGAGGAGAATTGTTAAGGAATACCCAATGCATTTTCTGTGCATGTCACATACCGCTTGGTCATCAGCTTCTTGCCATTGACAAACACCGTCGATGTGGAGGTGCGCTTGACGGCAGCATTAGGGCCACCAGAGATGTGGGTAACGCCACTGCTGCCATTGCCAGCTGTCATTGACGTGAACGAGGTGAAACCGCTGGTAGGCATACAAAAATCCATCATTGAGTAGTTGAGCATGGGCGCCCCAAATGGGCTGGCCATTTTGTGCTGGTGATGGTGATGATGGCGCGATCCTCCTCCAAATCCTGCAGCACTGGAGCCATGACGTCGACTGCTGCCCGAGCCACCGCCGCCGCCGCTCATTGTCCCATTTGTGTATCCATTAGCATCTGAATAAGACATTCCATTCGATTCGTATTAGATCGATCAGCAGCAGCTGAACCTCTTACCACTTACCTCTGAAAAAGTCGGCAAAGGGCGAATTTACGCCAAAGAACTCGCGGAAGACCTCCTCTGGTGGTCGGAACACGAACGGAAATCCGCCCATAATATCAAAGTCGTCATAGTCGTGAGTGCTGTAATGATGACGGGCATGAGAGTTGCGGCTTTGGCCGCGTTCGCCCAGACCATCCTTGCCGTACTCGTCATAGATGCGACGTTTCTTCTCTGCGAAAACGGAAGGAAAAACACGAACAGAGGAACGTAAGATGGAGTCGAACTAAAATGCTTTCTCGGGATTAGTTTGTATAACAATTCGGGCTGCATTTGGGTTAGTGCTTTCAGGCCTAACGTTAGTTGCAACAAAAGCAGAACAAACGTCGTGCGGCAAGGCTGTCAGTCGGCAAAGAAAAGAACGAACGAACGAAAGAATGAACCAAAAACTTGCAACATCGCGTGGCTTTACCAAAGAGTTTGTGAAATGGTGTGCCCTCAAAGAAGTTACGGAAGGTAAACGCCTGGTAGCGGTTGCCGGACCTGCGTCCGGAGCTCGGATAGTAATCATAGTCGTAGTCACGGCCATATGAAGTGGCACCATAGCCACTGCCACTGCCTCCTCCGCTGCTGCGATAGCGGGAGTAGCTGCCGCTGCTGCTGTTGCTCGCCGACGATTTGTGCAGCGTGGCACGGGCATCGTAGATCCGGCGCTTACGTGCTAAACACATGATAGAGACTTAGCATTGTGATTCGTGGTTGGTCCTTCATGGGCTACACCGCCCCTTGATCCCGCAATTCCCAGAATGTCCATTCGACTGTGGATTGAGTGTGGTGGCACAACTTACCATCGGATAGCACTTCGTAGGCCTCGGAAAGCTCGCGAAAACGTTTGTTGGCCTCATCCAGATTGTCCGGATTCTTGTCCGGATGCCATTTTAGTGCTAATTTTCGATAACTGCAAAGGAATGAAGGACGAATAAGGACGGTTGCTGGAGGAATTATCTCTGACTGCACTTACGCCTTTTTCACTTCACCGTCGGTGGCTGTACGCGCCACATCGAGAACCTGATAGTAGTCGACCATTTTGGATGGTTTACTGTGTGTAGTCTGAGCGTCTAATTGTTGTGGTGGTTGCGATTAGTTAGTTACTCGTCCGTCCAGCAAAGGGTGCAGCCTCTGCAAGAGATTTACAAATCAAAAAAAGGCTTCACATTAGTCGATAGAATGGGTACCGCTTACAACAGTTAACAGCCCTCGGAAAATTTCGAATTGTGTATAATTTTCAGGATGCTCTCTTGCTGGAAAGCAGAGTCTTACTACAAATCAAAATATTATAAAAGTCAAACCAAAAATGAAACATCAAATTGAGAGAAAACTCAAAGGATGCTTCGATGACAGAGAAGGTTTTGGGATCATCCCCCCCCCCCCCCAAGTGCGATTACTGGGTATACCAAGAGTCGGGTATTATCCACATCTTACTATGTTGCTCTTTCGCTTCAGTTGGGCCGCCGCCGCCGCCGCCGCCGTCACCGACACTTTTTTCGAGTTCAATGTCGTACGAAAACCCCATTATGCCACCAGCAGCCGCAGCAGCGCCCACACACACGCGAATCGCGAATGAGAGGGAAAGACAGCCCGGCCAGAGACTGAGACTGAGAGACAAACAGAGAGTGGAGCAAAGAGAGTGGCGTGCCGCATGTGTGTGGGGCGTTCAGCGGTTCGGGCCGTCCATCAACTGTTTTGGGGTAAATGCTGGTCGTTCACGCGTGTGTGCCTGTGGCTCTCCCCCAGCCGGCCCTTTGTCGTCTCCACCTCATCCTCCTCCTCCTCATCCTATTGTTTACCCACCAGCCGACATTTTCGTGCAAAATAGTCGCTAATTTTATTTAATTTGCTTTGTTGTTGCTTTGCTGCCGCTTCTGATGTTGCTTGTTGTCATGCAGCCCCCTTGACACAATTTCGTTTGATTTTGTTTGTTGTATTTTTGTGTATTTTTTATCAGACATTACACGGGGCAATTGTTGATGTTGCCTCAAGTTGTGGCCACAGGAAATATTAGCCGCCCCCCCAGGCTAAATGACAATCAATTTGCGAGAGAAGAGAGCGACCACTGAACCGATCTTCAAAAATGGACCAACTTTTTCTGATACAAAGAGATCTGTAAATATACCCAATGTTGTGTTATGTGTTTCTGATGTTTCGTGTGGGCTGGCTGTTGTCTGGGGAGTTCTTGTGGGGCGTTTCACGCGATTTGCTCGACCGTGTGAGTGATCAGATCAAGTGATCATTTGGCCAACACTTTTCTATATATTGTATCTGTCTATTCGCGCGAGCGAGTATTTTTCTAATTTTTGTGATCTAATTTATGGGGCATTCAATGCGTTGCGTGTGCGTAAGTTTCACATAAATTTGTCATTAGCACAGATACACGCATTAAAACACGATGTGGATTATCGGCTTGCATATGTTACAGTCCGAACTGATTCTCTGATGAAAGAAATACATAAGCCGCAGGTTGGAAACTGCCAGGTAGAGGAAACTTTCAGTTTTATTCATTGAAAATATGTACTTAATTTTCTTTGCCAAATAATTGGCAATGAACTGAGATTTAAACTCGGTTCGTTGGATTCCCAGAGCGAAACCACGTGGGGTGGCTGTGGCAGTTGCACGGGGAGGCATGCAACAACAATCGTTCGGGCGAAATATCGAATAATGAATATTCTCCCAGAAGGAAACGAAAACGAATAAATTACCCTTTAGTTAAACATATAAATAAATCCAATACATACTATATAGTACAATATCAAAACATAAAGATAGGTTGCTGCCTCGTTTATATAAACGATATTTGTTTGCCGTAGTTTATTCGTTGGCTTTTGCTGGCTGCCTATACATACATACATATGTACACTCGTACCTGTTGACATATTCGGCAGATTCTAGGTCGTAGGTGTAGGAACTTGTAGCATTGTCTAAAAGCAGCAAATGACGACGACGACTGGCCAGCCATCCGCATGACACACTCGTCGGTTGGAGCTGTGCACGTCAGCAGAGGCACTGGCATCGGACATGGGACATGGGACATGGAGATGGAGATGAAGACATGGACGGGCGGGCAGACACGACACGGGAGATGTTTCGGCTGACAGTTGCGGTTTGAATTTCCCTGCCAGCTCAAATCGTATGGAATCGAATCGAAGCAGTCACTCAGCACCTTGCTAGAATTCTGTTTGCGAGGGCGGCATGGCATTTAAGGCATTTTGCGGCTCAGTCCGCAGACGATTTCATTTTAGGATGCCCTACTGGATGCCCTACTGGATGCCCTAGCAACAGTTTAAACACTTTAATCGGGTAAAGATAGCGTTCGTCCAAAATGTTAATGAGGAAATTAAAGCAATTATAAAAGTCGCTTCACACTCGAACAGTTAGTAATCAGAACTGGTTTTAAAGATCAGACTAATTTCATCATTCAGATGATTCACTGTGCGAGAAATGAACAGAGTTACAGAATGTTCTCTGGGAGTTGCTTCGAATGAACATTCATGTGTGTAGATACTGTGTACATACGAGAGTAAGGTCAAAGCTGATAAAAAAAATCAAATCACTGGGCAAACAATGCATTACAATTGATTAATTGAATCACACTCTGACTCGCAATGGAAATGTTCCGGTAATGAGATGTTTTTGAAAAAATATATTTGAGAGTCCTGATAGCATTTTGGTGCCTTATTTGAATATGCATTCAAATTCAATCAGAAACGAATGCGACTCGTTCGGATAAGTGTATTGGACACTGCCTACGCGGTGTGAAGCGTCAAACCTGAAACACTCTGAAAGTTATGTGTATGCGTTTGGTATTCTGTGGTTTGCAGAGTGGATGCTGCTGCTGCTGCTGCTGCTGCTGCGGTTGGCTATGCAAATTACATCACCTTGTCTTTTGCAGCCACTGTGCCAATGCTGTGGTTTTTTGTGTTCACACTTTATCCATTTGTTGTCGTCTCGATTAAACCTTAACTGTGCCGCTGCATAGACAACCAGCCAGAGAAGAGAAGAGCAAATCAAATCAGGTGTCGTTGCTGGCAGCGGCGGCACTCCAGCAGCAGCCACAACAGTTGGTTGCGTGCTCACTTACACGAAAGAGCGAGACAGATGGACCGGGGCTATTGTTGGTGTTGCAAAAATTTGCCATAACCTACTTTTTGCTGCCAAGGTTCATTTGTATAGAGGTGAGGTATTCCTGCTAGCCCTATTTGATCAATTTACTCCACTTTCTTTATCTCCCCCTCTCTCTCTCTCTCTGTTTGTCTTTCTCCCTTTTTATGTCATGCACAAACGATACTTGGCATTCAAACTGGCAATGCTTCACCCTATGTAAATACACCTTGATGCAATAAACACACACACGAACACCCGTGCCAGAGGAAACCAGCAATGAAAAACTGATAGAGGCCAACGGAAAGCAAAGCAAAGCAAATGTGCGATAAGAAAACGCTGCGCATTTATACGAATGTTGAGCTTAAAGAAAAGTCACGCAATCCGAGTGCGCAAGAGGGAAAGGAGATGCACTCACTCACTTTTGATATTTTTCGTAATTTTATTTCCTTTTCTCTTTAATTTTTGTTGTTAACCAGCAATTTCAGTTCTCGTTTTTATCACATTGTTGTCGTAGTCGGCGCGCTGCTGCGTTGCACAAAGCATTATAAAGAAATAATAAAGAAGCCACGCAGTGCTGTGCATAAATTAAATTAACAAAAAACGCTCACGTACGCGGCAACGGTTAAGAATTAAATGCAGAGACGAGACCCCCAAACAACAAAACAGCAGCAGCTGACGGCGCAGGGTATATTTGTATGAGGGCGAGGCATTGCCCGAGAGCTCTCTCTTTGTTGGCGATCGTGGCCTTGTGAAGCAGAGAGCGAGAGTGAAAGCCTCACCTTTAACGTGTGTGTGCACACTGCGAGAGAGCGGCGTGAGCGCGGGAGAGCATTTGTTTGCATTCGCTCTCTGCTGTTCTTGCTGGTGTTGCTTTTTCGGTGCGTACCGGAAGTTGTTACGCCAATTCCTGCACAAATTATCTCCTTTTATCATTTATCTTTCCAATGCGATTTTGTTTTTCGAGCGACCTTATCAGCGCCAGCGCATGTCTACGCGAGTGAGATCAGTTACTGTTATTGTGGCTAATGGTGGTTTACCCCCTTTTTCGGGGAACGTGATTCATCAGATAGTTTCCGCAGAAATTTCTGCGCTCCTGTGCCTGGGTTTCGGTTTGGGTTTATTGATTGCAGATTCATTTTAATAAATGCGATTTCCATATAGCCTAAGTTTATAGCGCTATAAAAGCGGCAGAGCGCGGCAGATCACGGCAGCGAATGTGCGAAAGGCAAAACAAATTTAAATATTTAATTTTAGAAATATGCTTGGCGAGTCGTTGACGCCGCCGCAACAGTGGTAAAAAGTGGATGGAAACGATTAGTCGTGGGGCTATATACAGGGGCTATATTCTATTATACAGCTCCTGATCGCGGGTCCAGACTTCCAGAAAATGCCATTCTCGATGGCTCTTGAATCAGTGTGCCGTTGAGAGCAGGTGGGGATGAGTGTCGGGGGAGGAGGTGCCACGCAAAATGTTGCGCGAAAAATCTTTGAAAAGTTTATAAATTGAAACAGTTTCTATACAAATTGTTTGGGTGTGTGTGTGTGTGTGTGTGTGGGAATGTATTTTTAGTTTAGCGGAAAGTAAAAGACTCGAGAGGGTGTGGGAATCAGCGAAATGAATTGGTCAAAAGTTTTGCGGAAGAAAAATATGAATGCAAAAACAGAAAGAGAGAGAGAGAGAGAGAGAGTGAAAACTTTAACGAAGAAAAAGCTACTGCTAGGAATTGGAACACCGGTAAATGGTCAGTAATTATTGCAGGGAAATAAATAACACAAATTAAATGTAGCAATGAAACCGAGAGCACTGAGGGAAAGTGAGGGAAAAACGAAAAACGAGGTGGAAACTCGCCAAATTGCACAATCACGGGGGAACAATCGCACAGCACAATGCAATGCCATGCCATGTGAAGCAATAATACTAATAACATGAAAAGCCACACCACACCCCACCCCACATCACCCCACCTCACCCCACCACAAGACCTAGAAATAGACACGTGGGCGTGGGAATCAATCTATTT